ATGGACAGACCCCCTGTTCCCACCTACCTGGACAGACCCTCGCTGACCCTCACTGTCTGGGTATGGGGTATGGACAGATCCCTAGCTGTCCTGCACTACCTTGGGGTATGGACAGAACCCTCACTGGACCCCTGCACTGTTGGGTATGGACAGACCCCTCTAGCTGTCCTGCACTACCTTGGGTATGGACAGACTCCTACTGGACTTCTGCACTCACATACGGTATGGACGGTAGACCCCTCATGTCCTGCACTACCTTGGGGTATGGACAGACCCCCTCACTGTCCTGCACTACCTTGGGGTATGGATAAGACCCCTCTGTCCTGCACTACCTTTGGGGATGGACAGACCCCTGCTGTCCTGCACTACCTTGGATTATGGCACTACCTTGGGGTATGGACCACCCTCACTTGGGGTCTGGACAGACCCCCAGCTGTCCTGCACTACCTTTTGGGGTATGGACAGACCCCCCACTGTCCTGCACTCAACCTTGGGGTATGGACAGACCCCTCACTGTCCTGCACTACCTTGGGGTATGGACAAATCCCCACATTGTCTCCTGTACACTACCTTGGGGTATGGACAGACCCTCCCCTCACCTGTCATGCACTACCTTGGGGTACTGGGACAAATGCCTTGGGGATGGACCCCTTGTTGCTACCTGGCACAGACTCACTGTCCTGCACTACCTTGGGACATGGACAAATGGACAGACCCCCTTGCTGTCCTGCACTACCTTGGGTATGGACAAATGGACAGACCCCTCAGCTGCCCTGCACTACCTTTTTGGGTGTATGGACATACCCCCTCACTGTCCTGCACTACCTTGGGGTATGGACAGACCCCTCACTGTCCTGCACTACCTTGGGGTATGGACAGACCCCTCACTGTCCTGCACTACCTTGGGTTATGGACAGACCCCTCACTGTCCTGCACTACCTTGGGGTATGGCACTGCACTACCTTGGGGTATACAGACCCCTCAGCTGTCCTGCACTACCTTGGGGTATGGACAGACCCCTCACTGTTCTGCACTACCTTGGGGTATGGACAGAACCCACACTGGACCCCCTCACTGTCTGGTGGTATGGACTGACCCCAGATCCCCTAGCTGTCCTGCACTACCTTGGGGTATGGAAAGACCCCTCACTGCCCTGCACTACATTGGGGTATGGACAGACCCCTGCGGCTGTCCTGCACTACCTTGGGGTATGGACAGACCCCTCGCTGTCCTGCACTACCTTGGGGTATGGACAAACCCCTCATTGTCCTGCACTACCTTTGGGGATGGACAGACCCCCCTCAGCTGTCCTGCACTACCTTGGATTATGGACAGACCCCTCACTGTCCTGCACTACCTTGGGGTATGGACAGACCCCCTCACTGTCCTGCACTACCTTGGGGTATGGACAGACCCCTTGTTGTCCTGCACTACTTTGGGGTATGGACAGACCCCCTCAATGTCATGCACTACCTTGGGGTATGGACAAACCCCCTCAATGTCATGCACTGCTTGGGGTATGGACAAAACCCCTCATTGTCCTGCACTACCTTGGGGTATGGACAGACCCCTCGCTGTCCTGCACTACCTTGGGGTATGGACAGACCCCTCACTGTCCTGCACTACCTTGGGGTATGGACAGAACCCCTCAATGTCATGCACTACCTTGGGGTATGGACAGACCCCTCACTGGTCTGCACTACCTTGGGGTATGGACAGACCCCTCACTGTCCTGCACTGCCTTGGGGTATGGACAGACCCCCTTGTTGTCCTACACTACCTTGGGGTATGGACAGACCCCTCACTGTCCTGCACTACCTTGGGTTATGGACAAATGCCCAGACCCCCTTGCTGTCCTGCACTACCTTGGGGTATGGACAAATGCCCAGACCCTCGCTGCCCTGCACTACCTTGGGGTATGGACATACCCCTCACTGTCCTGCACTACCTTGGGGTATGGACAGACCCCTCAGCTGTCCTGCACTACCTTGGGGTATGGACAGACCCCCTCACTGTCCTGCACTACCTTGGGTTATGGACAGACCCCCTCACTGTCCTGCACTACCTTGGGGGTATGGACAGAGACCCTCGCTGTCCTGCACTACCTTGGGGTATACAGACCCCTCGCTGTCCTGCACTACCTTGGGGTATGGACAGACCCCCTCACTGTTCTGCACTACCTTGGGGTATGGACAGAACCCACACTGGACCCCCTCACTGTCTGGTATGGACTGACCCCAGATCCCCTAGCTGTCCTGCACTACCTTTGGGGTATGGAAAGACCCCCTCACTGCCCTGCACTACATTGGGGTATGGACAGACCCCTCGGCTGTCCTGCACTACCTTGGGGTATGGACAGACCCCTCGCTGTCCTGCACTACCTTGGGGCATGGACAAACCCCCCTCATTGTCCTGCACTACCTTTGGGGATGGACAGACCCCCCGCTGTCCTGCACTACCTTGGGGTATGGACAGACCCCCTTGTTGTCCTGCACTACTTTGGGGTATGGACAGACCCCCCTCAATGTCATGCACTACCTTGGGGTATGGACAAACCCCCCTCAATGTCATGCACTACCTTGGGGTATGGACAAACCCCCCTCATTGTCCTGCACTACCTTGGGGTATGGACAGACCCCCTCGCTGTCCTGCACTACCTTGGGGTATGGACAGACCCCCTCACTGTCCTGCACTACCTTGGGGTATGGACAGAACCCCCTCAATGTCATGCACTACCTTGGGGTATGGACAGACCCCCCTCACTGTTCTGCACTACCTTGGGAATGGACAGACCCCCTCACTGTCCCTGCACTGCCTTGGGGTATGGACAGACCCCCTTGTTGTCCTACACTACCTTGGGGTATGGACAGACCCCTCACTGTCCTGCACTACCTTGGGTTATGGACAAATGCCCAGACCCCCTTGCTGTCCTGCACTACCTTGGGGTATGGACAAATGCCCAGACCCCTCGCTGCCCTGCACTACCTTGGGGTATGGACATACCCCCTCACTGTCCTGCACTACCTTGGGGTATGGACAGACCCCCTCGGTGTCCTGCACTACCTTGGGGTATGGACAGACCCCCTCACTGTCCTGCACTACCTTGGGTTATGGACAGACCCCCTCACTGTCCTGCACTACCTTGGGGTATGGACAGACCCCCTCGCTGTCCTGCACTACCTTGGGGTATACAGACCCCCTCGCTGTCCTGCACTACCTTGGGGTATGGACAGACCCCCTCACTGTTCTGCACTACCTTGGGGTATGAACAGAACCCACACTGGACCCCCCTCACTGTCTGGTATGGACTGACCCCAGATCCCCTAGCTGTCCTGCACTACCTTGGGGTATGGAAAGACCCCCTCACTGCCCTGCACTACATTGGGGTATGAGCAGACCCCTCACTGACCTGCACTACCTTGGGGTATGGACAGATCCCTAGCTGTCCTGCACTACCTTGGGATATGGACAGACCCCTGGCTGTCCTGCACTACCTTGGGGTATGGACAGACCCCTCACTGTCCTGCACTACCTTGGGGGTATGGACAGACCCCTCGCTGTCCTGCACTACCTTGGGGTATGGACAGACCCTCACTGTCCTGCACTACCTTGGGGTCTGGACAGATCCCCTAGCTGTCCTGCACTACCTTGGGGTATACAGACCCCCTCACTGTCCTGCACTACCTTGGGGTATGGACAGACCCCCTCACTGTCCTGCACTACTTTGGGGTATGGACAGACCCACTTGTTGTCCTGCACTACCTTGGGGTATGGACAGACCCCCTCACTGTCCTGCACTACCTTGGGTTATGGACAAATGCCCAGACCCCCTTGCTGTCCTGCACTACCTTGGGGTATGGACAAATGCCCAGACCCCCTCGCTGCCCTGCACTACCTTGGGGTATGGACATACCCCCTCACTGTCCTGCACTACCTTGGGGTATGGACAGACCCCCTCGCTGTCCTGCACTACCTTGGGGTATGGACAGACCCCCTCACTGTCCTGCACTACCTTGGGTTATGGACAGACCCCCTCACTGTCCTGCACTACCTTGGGGTATGGACAGACCCCCTCGCTGTCCTGCACTACCTTGGGGTATACAGACCCCCTCGCTGTCCTGCACTACCTTGGGGTATGGACAAACCCCCCTCATTGTCCTGCACTACCTTTGGGGATGGACAGACCCCCTCGCTGTCCTGCACTACCTTGGGTTATGGACAGACCCCCTCACTGTCCTGTACTACCTTGGGGTATGGACAGACCCCCTCACTGTCCTGCACTACCTTGGGGTATGGACAGACCCCTTGTTGTCCTGCACTACTTTGGGGTATGGACAGACCCCCTCAATGTCATGCACTACCTTGGGGTATGGACAAACCCCCCTCAATGTCATGCACTACCTTGGGGTATGGACAAACCCCCTCATTGTCCTGCACTACCTTGGGGTATGGACAGACCCCCTCGCTGTCCTGCACTACCTTGGGGTATGGACAGACCCCCTCACTGTCCTGCACTACCTTGGGGTATGGACAGAACCCCCTCAATGTCATGCACTACCTTGGGGTATGGACAGACCCCCTCAGTTCTGCACTACCTTGGGGTATGGACAGACCCCCTCACTGTCCTGCACTGCCTTGGGGTATGGACAGACCCCCTTGTTGTCCTACACTACCTTGGGGTATGGACAGACCCCCTCACTGTCCTGCACTACCTTGGGGTATGGACAGACCCCCTTGTTGTCCTACACATCTTTGGGGTTCAGACAGATCCCCCAGATCCCCTTGCTGTCCTGCACTACCTTGGGGTACAGACAGACTCTCCCAACCTCCTTGCTATTATTCATTACCTCGGGGAACTGACAGACTGCCCCCAGACGTCTTGCATAACACTAGGGAATGGATAGAGTACCCAAAACCCCCTGCTGTCCTGCATAGCCTTAGGGTGGGGACAGACTGCTCCAGACCCCTCCCCCCAAAAAGCCCTAGTTGTCCTGCCTTACCTTGGGGTAAGGACAGAGAGCCCCCATGCCTCCTGTGTTGGGTCCACCGTCCCCGTCCTCCAACTGCTTGTGGTCCTGTGCCGGTGGCATCACACACACATTCTCACCATCAGTGAAGGCCAACACCTGTCACAATACATATATACACACGTCAGTCCAAACATCCTGCCTGGGTGAATAAACTCTGTAATATCAGCCTAACAAACACATATCTTAACATGTTAATAAAACATGTTTAAATCAAAAATAACAACGATTATCATTCTGACTAATACTAATTGCTTATCTCTTCTCATTGCATTTATTGCTGAAACTGTACACACTACTTCTATTTTCTTCACACATGATCTGAAGAACGACAAACCAATAGATGGCACCAAGTTACTTCATCTTTGTATGGTACATAATGAAAACTTAGCATGCAGTTACTCATGTTCCCTTGCTGACTAGTTATACATTACCAACTTACCGACACCTCGTCCCCCTTGAGGAACTCCTCAACCACTACAGTATCCCCTGCATCTCCATACTTCCTCGCCTGGTGGATAAAAAATAGTAAGGAAGATCCAACACTCAATTACCCCCCAAACATATCGCACAAAATGTTTCCCACATTACAAAAATATTGATAATTATTTCTGAACTTCTCATGAATTCCCCCAAAATGGATGTATTTAAACAAAGATGAAAATGTTCTGACAGTGATCAAAATGGCAGTATACAGGCAGGGTTTTACATGACACATGATTCCTGCGTATTTGATGCAACAATTTTGTAAACGACTCTCAAAATATCATCATATATGAGTCAAGCTTGACGCAAGTCTTATGAATGGCACTGACAATTCAGTTCAATAAAATCGATTTGATAAGCAAAAAATGATATTATTCGATGATAGTTTGACTTTTACAGAGCTGTCAGATTAATCCAGAGTACTCAGAGGAGACAGTGATCCTGGCTCTTTGCTCTTTGAATTGAACAATGCTGTAGTTTGATTTGGTGGTGTGACATACACAGTTACATACCGAGAATGATTAACATAAAGAAATATTAAAATTTTCATGACTCCCAAGTATTGAAAATGACTCCCAAAAATAAATATTGTGAGTCACCATGACTCCCATTTTCAAAAGTCTGTGTAAAAAACTGATACAAGTTTACATGGAATTAACAATTAATTGAAATGACATAATTATTGTCATGTTTTATGTCTGGATAATCAAAAGGTACAGGCAGAGTTAATTTCAGCAGAAGAAAATCTGTCACACTTTGAAAAATGGAGAGTACATGTCGCGCCATACTGAACCATGCTCTGCTCTTGCAAGATTACCTGCATGATGGTATTAACTGCATCACAAGCTTCCTTCTTGGAGGCAGCAACCACAACCCCCCTTTCCCGCCGCCAGCCCGCTCGCCTTCACCACAACAGCTTCACCTAGCTCACCCCTGTAAGAGTGAGTGAGTTTAGTTTTACACAGCTTTTAGCAATATTCAGCATTGGGCTTCACACATTATACCCATGTGGGGAATCAAACACGAGTCTTTGGCATGACAAGCGAACGCTTTAACCACTAAGCTATCAAACAACCCCCACCCCTGTAAGAAAAATGTGGAGAAAAATGTGGAGATGACTGGTGACAAGGAAATACATTCATAAAAGTTGGATAATTTGACACATTTGCAGTCCCATCTTTTTCCATATTTCTGAATCATTTCATGATTTAGCACACATCGCCTTAAATCCTGTAATCATTTTAATATTCCGTCATATATTTAATATATAATAGGGAGAGAGTAAGAGATTATCAGCCTTGATCTGTTGGCCATTACAACCCTTAAGTGTGCATGTAAGCTATCAACACCTTCAATCTGTGACAGTGATTATCTCCCTTGGGCTGTAAAATTATGTGTCTATTTATATAGTGCCAAACTCCACACCAGGTATGTTCATAGTGTTAACAATGAATAGCACAGCACATTATTACTCTGGATAACCGAAGAGTTGTCACTTGTGAGTGAGTGAGACTGCTTTTAGCAATATTCCAGCAGCGGACACCAGAAATGGGCTTCACACAGGCAAATCGAACACGGGCCTTCAACATGACGAGCAAACGCTTTAACCATGAGGCTACGCCACCGCCCTGATTACAGTTAGGGAACTTTTATGACAACTGCCGCCGCCTTGGGACATCAACCTTCGTACTCCTGTATATTCAGCCTTCCTACTTGTTTTACATCTCATCTAGAAACCTTGGGTTCATGTTAAATGGATGATAACCATATTCTATTTTCAGAGTCTGGGCTAACAATCACTTAGAAGACCAACCATTTGAATAACTTACTTATTTATGTATTCACAAGCCTCATCTGCAGAGTTGAAAGTCTTGTACTGAGCTGTAGGAATTCCTTGACGGGTCATGAAGTCTTTGGCAAAAGCCTTGCTGGCCTCAATCTCAGCTGCTTTTGCTGATGGTCCAAAACATGCTATACCTGAGGAACCAACAAGATCCAAGTAACAATAATGATCATTTATGTAATCTGAGTAAAAATGTGAAAAAGGAAATAGAACTGAACTTGGATCATGGAACATTTAGGTTAAGGTTAGGTGAGAACAACAATGGAATAAATAAAAAATAACAACAACAGTGCGGTTTCATAAACACAGGCCAAAGTAAAAATGGGTTCCAAGTTAATTATGTCAGAAACAGTAGATGTATGCTTATACCTCCAGCAATACATCACTTAAACCTTTCCTACCCTGATACGTGATGAGCTAGAATCAAATGTAAAGTTCTATTTTCATTTCCTAAGTTTTGATTATTTTTCATGTTTTGCATTTGTGAGGTGAGGTGAAATTGGGTTTAACGTCGTGCTTGAGAATATTTCGCTCACATGACGACGTGCATGCATGTGTATGTGTATGTGGGGCTGCTTGTACTAGCCCAGACTGAAGCTGGTTTTATAGTGCTAGCCCACTCAGATACCATGCCGCAGTGAAGCATGAATACCCCACTCGCACACATTATACTGACTCCGAGCCGACCAGTCCTTGTTGTAACCATTAATGCTGAGCGCCAGGCAGGGACCAACAAATACCATATTTTAACGTCTTTTTGGTATGATGCGGTCGGGGATCGAACCTGCGACCTTCCGCTCTCCCGGGCAGATGCTCTAACCACTACACCACGGAGGCGGTGTTTTGCATCTGTAAAGGTATCAGTACCATATCAGCTTTAACACATAATTTTCAAACTTAGGCTATTCCTATTAATGACAACCCATACTTCCCATCAAAAGTTTAGACTCACTTAAAACATTCACTACATGTTATGTATGTATATATGGTTACAGCGAAGATGAATTTCTCCACTAACTTGGGGAAACAACTGCAAACCTTATGCAGATTAATTGCACGAGGATCATGCATCAAACTGCTAAAATGTATATGCAAATATCGTGCATGTGAACAGCTGCGTTTGGGGTAAAGTTTTGATAAGAATTCACCATTTTTAACCAAGTTTCATCATTTATTGAACGCATGACAATAATCTTTTCAACATTATGAATTTGTTTACAATTCATCAGTTCATGTATAAACAGCACCTTTAAACAGTATGGAATATTTTTCAAAATTTAGAACAGTTGCCTGAAGTAAGTGGCTACATGTACACTAGTGAGTCTAAACTTTTGATGGGGAGTATATGTACACATTTAGAAACAGAATGATAACTCACAGTATCTTGAAAGTGTAAAATATAACTAAGTATCACATGTTACTATTGTTACCATTTGAATTGAGCGTGTCTGCAATTCCTGCAGCCAATGGATCCTCAGGACCTACTATCACAAGCTCCACACTGTGCTCCTTACACCATGCACACACTGCAGAGAAGTCTTTCACATTTACATCTGAAACATTGCATTAAAATATTAATATACCAAACAGTCTCAAAGACTTGAACCCTAAAAACAGGTAAACTGTCTTTTTCAATCTACAATCTACAATCTGAAGCAATAATAACCTGAGGTGTCTGTGTGTCATCCATGTCTACCTCGGCCACTTATATTAGTCTGAGCCCACCTATGGTCTGGGGATGATGTAGCATGAGGTTGGTATTCAATGAAAAGCCGGTGTGGCATTTTAAAAATATATTTTAAACAAAGCGGTCCTCAGATGTTCTCCTATCTTGCCTGACATTTTACACAAAGACAGATTCACAGAATACCTGGAAGAAGTTGATGATTTTCCCTCCTACAACACTTAACATCTGAGCCCAATTTCTAATCATACAGTGAGAAAATGCTGCATGACCCCTCTCATGCACCTCAATCCAGACAGCTAACAAAGTGTACTGATGATAATTTGGGCTCCCAACACTGAATTAATGTCCTAAGAGTTACAAAAATGAGTCACATGTAAATAAGATCCTTCCCAACCTTCCATTCCTTAGGAAAATATTTAGTGTCCCTAAATTGAACTAAAGTACTGTCGGAAATAGAAAAAAACTGTATTTAGGCTCTAACTCTGTATCCCTAAAATTTACACAATTGCAAGTAGCATATGTTGAAATAACCCACATAGGACTAACTGGGCGTTCAGTGGGATGTGTAATAGGATATCCAGAAATGCATGTTTACTCGTAAAATCGGGCAAAACTTAGAAAAATACCAATAGCTGCTGAAAACAAGTGATCAGACTATAGATGGCAATTAGGTCGCTCAGCCAGGCATAAAAAGCATGTGCTGCCTACAGACACAGGGGTCATCTCAAAGATATCTTATGCTTTTTCATGTGTATTGAATATGTCTCATCTATTGATTATCATCTCATGAGTCTTTCATAATGTTTATGTTGAGATATGTAAAAGAATATGATACCCATAGAAAAGCTTAAATCAACTATCGTATTAAATGTCTTACAATATATAGGTGACAAGACCACCCCAAGATCGACAGGACTAGATATTATTTGTTAATTGTTAAGACATGCCGTTTACTTCACCCAGTTTAATTTCCTTAGAGGATTTACTTATCTTAGCTGATATCTCTATCCCCCAGTACAACCCACACCACCGTCTGTGACACTCGTCCTGGTTTTGCTTTTGAGACGACCCCTCCTTCTGGTTTCTTTTTACAGTGATAGTGAGGCTCCATGGTAGCTACATCCTTAATAGTTTCAGTATTAAAGTTATTAGTATTTACGTCAGCTATCGTTTATAATGAAGCTAAGTCTAGTTTCAAAATAGGCATTTAAAAAGTGTCCTCTGAAATACAATATCATCGCACACTAATTTGCATAAAGCCATGGTCTGTCCTCAATAAGTCGCTTTGGACTTACAAAAAACCCGCATTGCTCACTTCTACACTAATCTCTCCTCAGTGAAGTCCTTTTTCACGTTTCCTATCTCCCTACCACTGAGTCTGTAGTTAGGCCGAACTTAGTTTAACAGATATTTCACACTTTCACATATTAACTTCATAAATTGTAGATGTAAATGTGAAAAAAAAGTTTTTTTCTATTTCCGACAGTACTTAAGAATTGAAGCAAGCCTCTTAGATACTGAACCAACCTTAACTTGGCAAGCATCTGAACCCTATTTCTCAATATAACAGAGAGAACCTCTCTTGTCATTAGGAGGGGTAAGAATTGTGCACCTCTCTCCAGACAACTAACAAGAGTATTGATGACAATTTTGGCTCCTACCACTAAAATAATGTCCTATGTCATACAAAAATGAGTCATGTCCCATGTTAATAATAATATTCATCTCAACCTTCCATTCCTAAATTGAGGAAAATATTTATTGTCCCTCGATTGAACAAGAACTGAAGTAAACCAAACTGGCTGTAACTTACCAACATTGCTGATTTTGCCATCACTTGCTGTTCCAGCATTGCCTGGGGCAACAAAAACTGACTTGACTTTTTCAGACTGGGCCAGTTTCCATGCGAGAGCATGCTCCCGCCCACCACTTCCTATCAACAACACATTCTCCATTCCCTGGAACAGATCCAAAGTGAAGATGATAGAAGAGATTTATTATAAAACTTAGTTTCAGTTAAATCACAGGGCTTCAGAATGTCCAAATTCAGCCTACATCTACATATCACAGAATCGCAAACAAAATTATAGAAGGGTCAACTTTCTTAAACATGAAAGAACAGTTTTATTTGCCATCTTCAAAGTTATTGTCTGATTTGGGGATCAAAATGAAGGTAGTGAAAAGGTCCATACACAATCGAGTGTTTTAAATAAAACTGTTTTTCGGATAAAGTGTTGTGGGAAACAACATATGAGCTTGCTCCCTTTTTACTAATTGGTAGGGCTGGCTAAAAGATTGATAATCAGAAAACTATTGGATGGAAGTCATTAGTAATGATTATTGATATGAAAATTGTGTCATAGTTAATGTGGCAGTGTCATATTTTACATTTTATTTATTTATTTGTGTAAATACGGTATCATTTTTAAACAGTTTGGTTGTGGTAGTTTTATTGGATTAGGTTTTTATTAGAGTATGTTTGGTATTTGTCTCCAGCTTGATTACCCCAAGCTGGACCTGGGCTCCTATTGTAGTATTGTGGGAGAGCAGGGTGTTCTATTGTTCTTAACTCAGAGGGCAAGCTATTCCTTGATCTCTGATTGGTCAGTTTGAAGTTGTATCTTTTCTTCTTTACTAACATCAGCACATTTTAGTCAGTTTACCACATACAGCTGCACAAGAAAGGCACCTCAAACATATGACGTGACAATTTGACAGACGTCTGATTTCCGCTCCTTTTTCGTCTACAACTTCTCTCTGTTCAAGGTTTAAACATTATGTAGGATGTAATATTTGTTACCTAAAGTTATATCATAAACATTATTCTTGCTTAGGTTATAATATTAAATGTGTGATGTGAAGGTATGAATGTGTTTTAAGAATATATTTTAAGTCAAATATTTTGTGTTTATAGGCATAATTTTCATGTTTACTGCATCAGCATTTTCATTATAAGTTTATTAGTAATAATTGTAATCTTTTATGAAGTCAGGTGACACACAAGCATGTGTGCCTGCTTAGCGGCCATCTTTTTCAGCCATGTTGTCTACTTGGTGGTACATGTAATGTTTGTGCCACTTGAGATATCATATTATTTTAACAATTGTTCATTGTATATATTTATAAGAATATCACAGAACACATAATGTTGTGCTGTAAGGTATATGTATATGTTTATTAAGTAGGTTTGTTTTAAAGAATGATATATGATAATGAAACATATAATAGGTTAGCATAATATACTTAATTGTGTGTTATATCACTTATAGATGGACATGCTGTTTCACTAAGGTGGACAATGTAATATCACCTGAGTACCATATATTTGGTAGGTATTTTATCCTTTTAATGTGTTTATATTTCATGTATATATCATTGCCACAGATATGTTTTCCCTTGATATTGTAATATTTTGCTGCTGCAATTAATCCATATAATACCTTTTCGGAACTGCATGTGTTTATTTCTTGGAATTGATGCAGTTCAAGTAATTTGTATTAAATTGAATATATTGTGATATATATATGACCATTATCAGTAATTGTAACTTTTATGTGTAATCTACTATATTAGTATAGATGTGATATGACTGTTTTATTGATTATTGTTATTATGTTACAGGGTGAAAACAAAACAAACCATATATTTGAGAAATAAAGTAGTGGCACAAGTCACAACTCATTCCCCAGCAGGCGTTGGTCTTCATTGAACGGAACCACCCCTTACCCTGCTACATTAAATATGGTACATTAACTGTTATTATTATTATTATAATCTATTTATATAGCGCCGAGTTCCAGCTAGGCTGCTCACAGGTTTTTCCCTCGATGATGGGATGTCAATCTCAACGGCACTTCGTATTATCAATCTCAACTCCCTTGGGATTATACAACTCTTGCAGCCACTAGGCTATGACGAAGTTATGTTTTAATTCAAATACACTAAGTTAGGTCTATTCATGGGCAGCTCATAAAATATGTTGAGGATGCCTTATTTTTGGTACCAGTAGGTAGGTAATCCAAGCCTAAATATGTTACTTCTTCGATATTTATTTTTAATAGATTGATACTCATTTAATGATGGTCTATCTCTGTAATCTACATAGTTAGCCAGCCCTACAGACTGGTTAACCTTCTTTGAGAGGAAGCATGTTGTCTCTCAGAATGGTGGATGTGTCAACCGCCCCTCAGGGTGGATACAGAACCACAAAACTGATAACTAAATGCATCTTGCATTTTATTTGTTTCTACACAGGCATCATAGGACACAACACGTAGATGTAATCAATATACAGGAGAGTTGTGTTATATTTAATATTCACTGTCAGGAAGGATAATATATGAATGAACAACTAATCTATTACAGTGACACTGACAGCAGTTATACGCTTCAAGGGTTCAAAAATCACATCGCCCGACGTCAGGTTTCATTTCATTTCGCTCACGGTTTCAAACTGCAAATAAACTTTCACTTCATATCTGCTCAAAATGTAGCTACTGAATTTCGCAATGATAATAAAGTACAGTTATCTTTCTTTGCTATTTATCACTTCTCGATAAATAGTCCAGTAAACATTAACATCAAATACCATGTTGATATATTCTTTCATAATTACATCATCATGATCATGTCATGAAAATCAGGGCAAGTGGAAAATTAGTCAGGACAAGTGACTTAAAAAAAATATTGAACCCCTGACGTTTGTCCATATATTGTTATCCTTTCTTACTGCACCAACTTTTAAATGCCTCTCAAAGAAGTTATTCACTATTAGCAAGATGTCAAAGGGGCAATACTACATTCACATATTCATGAAGTTCCTTGTTTCATAGTCACATATAAACAATGTGAGTGTGTGAGTTTAGTTGTATGCCGCTTTCAGCAATGTCATGGCTGGGAACACTAGAAATGGGCTTAACATATTGTACCCATGTGGAGAATCAAACTCCGGTCTTCGGCTTGACAAGCGAACACTTTAACCACTTAACTACCCTGCGACCCATTTACACAAAGGTGAGGTGAAATTGGGTTTTAACGTTGTGCTCGAGAATATTTCGCTCATATGAAGACGTGAATGCGTGTGTATGTGTATGTGCGGCTGCTTGTACTAGCCCAGACTTAAGCTGGTTTTATAGTGCTAGCCCACTGAGATACCATGCCGCAGTGAAGCATGAATACCCCACTCAGACACATTATACTGACTCCGAGCCAACTTGTCCTTCTTGTACCCATTAATGCCGAGTAGTGCTAGTATTGGCATGCAACCTGTGATATGATACATCTGATATATGATCATGCTTTGAAATAAATTTCAAGCAGTTTCTCTAACTTAACACAAAGTCTATTGCCAACAATTACATTTCCACTCAACAACGCGACAGTATAACACCAGTTAGACAGATTGAGGTTCATGCTTTTGACAAAACCTTTGTCACCATTCAGTGCATGTCATGAATCTAAGGGACTGGTTTCACCTCGCCGAGAGGAAATACGATGGTGTCCTGTAAACTGCCTGACCCTACTGCGGCTCTCGATGTGTTTCGTCCATGTGACAACGCTTTTCAGAACCGGGAAAGCGTTGACAGTTCATCATTCTCGCCTCCAGAAATGAAACTGCCACAGTTCCCATACATGTTGACGGGGACACTCGTGTTTCACTGCGCATGGTATGAGCAGTCAGCCATAACATTTCAGGAACAAAGTTTACTGTATTGTATTATAAAACAAAATATGGTAATCACTCTAGGAAACTCACTTAGACCTATATATAACGCTGGCAAACTCTACCTTGTCTATAGTGTCACGAACAAGAACTCCGAATCACCGTGTTTACGTTCTCAAACCTCGCGCTGTCGACCACGTGCAGTCGAAGTGTGAAGGGAGACAACTCAGTCATGTACAGTCATGGGACATAAGTATTCGTCAGTCGGCAAAATTCTCATAGACTTGCATGCTATTTTAGTGTAGCTGTAATAATTTTCATTAATTCAGCTTTCGTTATTTGGGTGTCAAATTTTGCAGTGTGTTAGGAAATCATCTTGGCCACAGATACATAATTTCCATGAAATGTTCCTTCCTTTCCACTCTGTAGTTACATGACCAACATATATACAACATTCTGTATTCTTTCCCCATAGACCGCCATGTTAAAAATTGTCATAACCATGACACGTATCAATCAAAGTGTGGTCATTCTTGAAATACTGAATGGAAAATATAACGGAAATTATGTCTTTGCAGCTGAGATGATTCATGGCATGTGTGCAAAATATGAATATGATCAAACGAAAAATAAATTCAAGATAATTTTTTCTAGAAATACCTCGTACGGGTGACAGTGCCCGGCATGGGCGAATGTTCATGACTGACGATGGATAAAACAGAATTAAAACACATTTAACAACTGATGTGTTTCCTCCAGTTTAAACTGAACGGGCCAAATGTTTTTTCAAATACATGCGTGGAAGCGCAAAGTTCCGTCCACAAACGGCTGTAGGGTGAGACTGATGAATGTTCTTCCTCAATGTAACTTTCAGCCAGTTTCAATGAAATAACAACATTAGCAAATATAAAACATAACCTAACAAATTTGTACGAACTGTCACATGTACAATCACTTTCTGGTCTATCTCACTGACATGGAGGGGAAGTTATAAAAGCTGAGTTGGTGCTATATTTTCAAGTTTGATATTTGGCTTTGCTGATACGGGCGGAAGTCTTTCCGAAATAGACACGGGATTTTATTCAGCAGAAATACTGTAAGGGTAAATTAAGGCGGCGTTAATTTATGGACGGCTCATCAGACTAAACATATTCACGTTCCTTGGAGAATCTCCAAGACATCAGACCTTGGTGATGACTAGAATCTAGTATTTTTCAATTTCCTGCACAAACTCTGAAATATTTGACTTTAGGCAAGAGTCTAACTAATGGGAGTACATGTCAACCTTCTTAATTGTCCATTGGCTGACGGGGGTCCACATGACACCCCCACCCCCGTCTACTTCTTGGGTATTTTCTAGTAGCCATGGGTCCCTCCTTCAGTAGAATGCATGTTAACATTAAACAAACTGGTTCCCGAGGTACCTATTACGAGCATTTTCAATGTTACCCGACGTGCTTTTTAAACACCTTTTTTGGGGGTAGGGGAAACAAATGTTGCAATATCTTCATGCCCTGTAGATCCACCGCACCAAACTACCACTCAATACGTTGGTATTTAAATTCCCTTTCACATGGTACATAATATATGCAAATCGGGTAGACAAGTAGGTCACCAGAGGTCAAAAGGTCACAGAATTTAGCCGATGCCCAAAATCTGACTCATGACCCTTTATGTCAATGTCCTGGGGCCAAATGGGGAATTTTATCATGGTAACACCCCAAGAGGTGAACAATGATGTTATTGTAACAAAACAAAAGGGCTAATTTTTGATCATTTTGCCAATTTTCGCTTCTACTGCATGTGAAGTAAAGGTATATGTCAAAGTGTCAAGCCCTAAAATAGGCTTTCATTAATTCACATGGTCAAAGTCATTCATTATCAGAGTTGTCACTCTCCTCACTAGACAAGTATTCTTCATATGCAAACTCCTTAAAAGAAAAAATCCATGATTTTCCCCAGCCTCAGTGAGGGCTGAGGCGTCACTTGAAATCAAACAAATTACAGAGGGTAAATTGATTATTACCAAAGATTTGGTATTATGTATTGTTGTTGTTGTAAGTCGACACATGTACAGTTTAAACACATGCACATGCATGCATGTAGATGCGTATACGTAACGTACATGGTGCATTTAGATTCATACAGTGAAACAGTTATTTAAAGTATTCATAGCAGTTTGTAATAAAACCCCTCAAGAATACCAATATACTATGCTATTTACACGGGATATTTTTAATCTACCAGACAATCCAGTGACCAACAGCATGAGCATTAATCTAGAGAGAGAGAGGGAGAGAGAGAGACCACACCAGACACATACACCCCACACATCTATTTCAATCTGTAAATAAAAACGAAACAGAACGATTCAGACGATCTGGATTTGATGACATTTGCTTATTATAGTATACCGTAAAGAACACCATATACGTGACAGTATAAAACACCATGTTAAAGGTCAAATCTTGACACACGGCTTTTCTTGACCGCTTTTAGAAATATTCCAGCAACATCACGGCGGGGGACACCAGAAATGGGCTTCACACATTGTACCCATGTGGGAATTCGAACCCGGGTCTTCGGCGTGACGAACCAACGCTTTAACCACTAGGCTACCCCACCGCCCCTACAGTATAGGAGGTAGGAATGCTGGTTCAGACTCGACTACTCACATGCCGATCAACCCCTTTCGTTTTGCGCCATACTAATCAGGGGATCCAGGAGAAGCGGGGAAAATTCAAGTCAAGTCAAAAGGACAGGGGGAATTGCTCCCCAGGGAAATGTTATTCGGGGGAAAGGAGGTGGGGTGGGACAACAACCCCCACCCCCACCCTCCACACACACACACTGCTAATCATGTAACCAAGGTGAATGTATGTTTCTATATCCCTGGAACAAGGAAACGTCTTTTATTGTAATTCAGCATGTGACACAACAATATAAACGAAATTTCTTCTTCTTCATTGCGAAAATCAATAAATAGGATTCAGCAACAATACTTTTAGTTGAACTATAGAACAAAGGTTGCGCTTCCTTCTGTGTGCTTATGAATGACAAAGTGGTAGAGCTCCAGAAATCATAATTAAAATTATAAAATTATCATTTTACTAATATTTTGCTGTTAATTTTGCATAAATATGGATGTATTATTACCAGGCTTTCTAATTAATTAAGTTAAATATTATTTGTTCATGATTGTGCTTATACATTGTAAATGAGTTTCAATATTCTTATAACATAAGCTAATACGGGGGAAAGGTTCATGAACTGTATTTTCGAGACAAAGTTTTAACAAACGTTTTATTATCTATATATTTCCCTCACGTTGAAAAATCCAAACTACCAAGTGTGTTGATTTGGGTTGGCCATCCAGGAAAATAGAGTCGAGGTCAGCCACGTCTGTTTTTGCATAACGGCCACTGGAACTTGTGTATGTGGGTATAATTTATTGTTGTCTTTTTTTAAACAGGAAATGTCGCCCTATTCACGAGATAATTTAATAAAAAAAAAGAAAAAGAAAAAGAAAATGAAAAAAAGAAGAAGTAAGATCTACACCGTGGACTATCTTAATCAGCTTTCTATTATGACAGACCTCATCATGCTATTGTAAACGAAACTCGAGCAATCGTTGTAATGAATTGTTTTCCCAACTTAAATTGTTGTTTCATTCTTCATCGGCATTGTTGGTGCAGATGTAGGCTGTTCTGGGATGGCATTTTCTGTGATTTCTCATAATAAATGAGGTAGAACATGAAGGTGTAATTTTGTTATCTTGAACTAGAATATTTATAAAGACATATTTTTTTTCAAAAAGAGATGAGTTCCTTAGATAGGCAGGCCTACACATAAGCAGACGATATTTATTTATAGCTCTGTCCACGATGTTAACTTAATAACTTATGCTGAAGTTTCTGAGGGTTCAATTTACCTGAACTGTTAAGGTTGGCGAGGCGCAAACTCATCATCACTGCTTTCTTCAAATTCCGGACCATATACATCGGTTAAACTGACAATTAAGAAAATTCCGAAATCATTCTCGTCTGTTCTGTTCATATCGGCCATGTTGGTGGTCAAACGGAAGTAGTGCGGCCGTGTTGTGTACGTGCGCAGTGAAGCGGTCATAAAATCATATCCTCTTTTCAACTCAATTGTGTTTGTGCCTGATATCATTAATTGATTAATCAAATTCAAGTATTTCACGTAGTCATGGTAGAATGTTTTATGTTTTCTGATGTTTGTATTATACATGTCAAAATCACCGAGCGACTCACGCACGCGCGCGTAGACACATGCATCTATAATTATTATCGTTTTATTTGGTACAAAATCCCATGGACATGAATTTGTTTGAGGTACAACAAAGACTTATAATCGATTTTTGGCACAGTAACAAATTTCCAACATATTGCACTTGAAATAGATCCGATATCCCACGGTCTAAGGGAGATAACTATGGTCGAACAATTCCCCTAGCCCAAGTTTCGTATAAATGAGCGCAAAGATGACGTCACGACATTTCGAGACTGTTTGAAGGACGCCATCTTGGAACATTGAACAACATAAAGAGATAGACTTCTGTTGATTAAGCGTTTTGTAATTTGAACACAGCGCATAAAAAATGACGGAAGAAGACCCCGAAGTGGTACCTAAATTGGTAAGCAGAGTTATCATTATCTTTTTCAATGTTTTTGACCTGTTGCCGGCTTAGTATATGTATTTATGCGGTAAAAACACCCATTTTTCAAACTATATTCCCAACAACTGTTACCACATATGTACTCAATAAACATGGTGTATATGTGTGGGAATTTTTTGGAATCGTAGTTTTGAAGTTTGAAGGATAAGGGAAGCGAAGGGAAAACCCCTGTAGAAGAAATTTTGTTGGAAATCAGACAAATATATTCTCGAACAATCTCCAAATTCAATGTCAGACGTCTTCCTGCCTGCATGGGCGAGTGGTCTTGAACTTTCTGTTTGTTTTGTTTTTAATTGTGTGTCTTTTTTATTGTGTGGCATTTCGTTTACACTTACCACACTGAGACCGTTATTCAGACTGCAGTACACGTATATCTGTCCTGAAAATTAAATGACTTGTATTATCACTGATTTCAAAAAGGCCACATCTTCTATTGAATCTGGTCAATAAGTGAGTCTTTTTATTAATTAATCGGCTGACTGTGTAGTGTTAGAGGTTTCTAGCCTTTAATTGTAAGAACCTAATACTGCATACAGAGAAATGAAAAAAATAGTAATACAACCCAAGACCTGGGTCTAAAACAAATAAATGAAGCCAAGCATGGTTCCACAGACACACAATCTCATTGGTGATTCAACATACAGCTTTAAAAGAACTGACATATCAATGCAGGAATTTTCACCGTTTGTCCTTTTCGAATCATAGGAAGTGGCAGCGAAAGAATTGTCTCCAGATTGACGAACCCTCTGATATCATCTCTGTGACTTGCAGTGTTAAAAAATATAGTTGTTTCATTAGGATTGCAGCCTTTCTGATAATTTGCTTTAGTACAGCCCTGGCAGCCAGATCAACATATTTACCAATCAGTCAGTCAGTTCTGATAATACTTAATCTAATTGAAACAATAGATTTTCACCCTGAAAGTTTTATAATTAATATAATAGACAACTGTTTCTTTAGGAATCATTGTCAGCAGGCATTTGTAAATATTCTGCATGAGATATTGATACTAATAATTCATTTATATAGCGCCTAGTATCCATCTGACTAGTTGCTCACTGGACGCTGTAATCAGAATCTGATTATTATTACCCCGGATAACCCAAGCTGCCTGTTAGGCGTTAGAAGGTTATAGTCACATGACTTTATCCCATCGGGTTCCCCTTTTCTGCTGCGTGAACAGAGGCTATTTTGAACAAAAGGTGAGACCACATGTATCAGACCGCCTCAGTGGTGTAGTGGTTAGAGCGTCCGCCCGGAGAGCGGAAGGTCGCGGGTTCGATCCCCGACCACGTCATACCAAAAGACGTGTTACTTGTTGGTCCCTGCCTGGCGTTCGGCATTAATGGGGACAACAAGGACTGGTCGGCTTGGAGTCAGTATAATGTGCTTCACTGCGGCATGGTATCTCAGTGAGCTAGCACTATAAAACCAGCTTCAGTCTGGGCTAGTACAAGCAGCCGCACATTCACATACACACGCACGTCGTCATATGAGCGAAATATTCTCAAACACGGCGTTAAACCCAATTTCACCTCACCTCACATGTATCAGATGTGCTTCGTTGTGGGGCAGGACTGAAGTCCTAGAAACTCTCCGGAGTCAAGCTGCCAAACACGGTCACCCATCCAAGGACTCTCCGAGCTCGACGTTGCTTGACTTCAACTGATTCGTGACCTGAGCTCTACGCACAGGACCACACACCGGCACAATATTCCAATACATTTTGACAACGTAATATAAATAATGGACTTTCTGTTCAAATATTAAGGTGAACAAGGAACACTTTTCTTTTTGTGATTGACATGATAAATATTTTTGGTCGTTGTTAGCAATGTGATGTCATAATACATAGAACCTAACCTTGTAAGATTTGTTTGGAAGTCGATTATCAGTGTCAATAATTGATATTTTAGATTAATTTCCAACTCAGAAATTTAATTTTCATTTTAATCTTTAACACATATCCTTTCATTTTCCAGGATATAATAATGCACTCAACGTTCGTGAAGGCAAGTGAGGAGTTTGTGTTGATGCGCTGTGAAGATGAGGGCTGTATGTGCGGGAAGGTGCACTGTCCGTTCTGCAACACTGACCACTACAAGCCCACCCAGCCAGCCAGGGTGCGAGACCACCTCAACCTCATGCACTTCATGCATGCTGTACACTATGATGGTAGGTATTGATTGTAGTGATTGATAAAAATAATCAGTCAGAGTCCCCTTTGAACCAGCAAAATATAACACAGACAAGTCTAAAATATTCAATAATATATTGAGCAAAACAATGAGCAAGCTACAGTTAATGAGTGAGTGAGTGAGTTAGTTTGGTTTTACGCCGCTTTTAGCAATATTCCAGCAATATCACGGCGGGGGACACCAGAAATACAGTTAATGAATCACAATACAGATTTCTAGTACAATGCAATTGAGTCACAAATCTAAAGTTATGGGTCACATATATGAAATATTAACTCACCAGAGTCTTGGCAACCACATTGAGATCAGATATTCTAAATGGAGCTTGTTTACAAATGAGAGCAGTCAGGCACGAAGTGTCAGGGTCAGATGATGGCGAAGGCAAACAACGATGGGCAACTCCAGTGATATCGAAAGTCTTGTGTCAGTCCTTGTGTCAGTCCTTTATATATACTGACACAGATTCTCGAACCTTCCAGCAAAGCATGGCTGTATCATTAAACACTTACATCTTTCTCGAAACATGTTGAACATACGACCGGGAGTTAAAACATAAACATCCGGCCAAGGGAAGTAACTCTGGAACGCTTTCCCAAAAGGCGTACCGCTAAAATACTATTGCCATTGAACATATATGACGCGAAATGTGACCCACAACCAACACTCAAAACTTTAAACATTGTGACTCATAATAACTATCACCTAACCAATGTTATTACAAATTATAAAAGACACACTCTCGTAACAGTAAACACAGAAGGACCATCTGGTCTACAAAATATGAAACCCTGTATCCTGGCAAGGAATATTTAAACGAGTTTAACACAGGCATAAAACATTATTTCAGTTAAATCAGGGCATATCCTTGAAAAAACAACAATATGTTAATAAAATCTCAAGAGGAAAGGATAAATTTATTACAAAGATAAAATGCCTTACAAATTTTGTAAGTTATGTCACTTTCAACATGTTCAGTGGCATTCAATAAATCTGGGAAAAATATTTGAAAAATGTTATAGGCATTTCTCATTAAAACACCCTGAATGTGACAAAGTTGGCTCATCATTAATGAAAATTGGCAAAACATGGGGATGTTTAGTGACAAAAGGTTGCCTTATTCTTCTCCTACAAAACAACAGCCCCAGAGTGTAAACAGGGTAGTGGTTAAAGTGTTCGCTTGTCACACAGAAGTCCCGGGGTTCGATTCCCCACATGGGTACAATGTGTGAAGCCCATTTATGATGTTCGATGTCATGATAATGCTGGAATATTACTTAAAGCAACATAAAACTAAACTCACTCACTCACAGTGTTACCTGCATTGTTTCAGGTATGATGATTGTAAAGTGTTTCCGCGAGTGTACAGAGGGCATCCCTGCTGGCCACTACCACTGCCCCCTGTGCCTGAAACAGACCTCCAAGAGAGCCGCCTTCTCCCGCCATCTGCAGTCACATCTAGAGAAAGTGGTATGTTCTCATCATGCTCATTGTAGTCGTAAGGATTCTCAATACATAATACTTGGAAGTTTTTTTAGATTGTGAAGAACTATGAGATGAGTAATGATTTGTAGAGAGTGGCAGAAGTAGCATGGTGCCACTTGTGAACATGGGGGAGACTAGGACATGGTGGTACAGGTGGTACATTTAGTGCTTTGTTACTTGCACTGGTGCAACCAAATGTTCCAAAGTGCAACCTAGTTATTAGTTTAACTTGCACCAGGTGCAAGTTCATTTTTGAGTGGGTAAACTTTTGAATAAAACATCTAAATAATTCAATATCATATTTCTTTCATTACATATTGCAATAAAAGCAACGCAACTGGAATTTGGCTGGTGTAGGTTTTTATCTTAGGTTGCACCTGGTGCAAATAGGTTTACATCTTTTAAGTCAAGCCCTGCTGGTAGAGAATGTGCCATCTAACTGTTACATTCCATAACCATCCTGTTATTTTAGAATGTGTTGGGTTTTTTTTCTCTTTAATAGTTTTGTTTTTGAGATATTGAGTAAATGTATGAAAAAAGAGATTTTAATGTTGTATTTCACTGATTTCATCATTTTGTAATACTTGTTGTTGTGAATTATGATACCAATTGCTATTGTCAGTCCATTTGGTAATAACCCATTTGGTAATAACCCATCAGGCCACCAACAGGATCTGATGGTCAGGCATGCTGACTTTGTTCACACGTCATCGTATCCCTACTGTGTAGTTCGTTGCTTGTGTTGTTGATCACTGGATTGTCAGGTCGATAGTCAATTATTTACGGACTGCCGCCATATAGCTGGAATATTGCTGAGTTCGAAGTTAAACAACAAAAAAACCCCCAAAAAACAAAACCAAATGGTAATACTATCAAATCACATGATAGCAAGTGATAAACTACTTCCTTGTTCTCATTGGCAAAACTAAATACAACAAGGAAGGAAGTTTCCTGTGGGATAATTAGCCTACTGACCAGCTAACCCATTGTTTCACGATCAGATAGTCACAATACTGGGGCTATTGAAATTCCTTCCTGTAGTATAAATTTGAAAGTACTCCTTTTCGGTCATTCAAATCATGGTTATGATGAGAACATGTTCACTACTGCTTAATTGTCCAAACTGCTGTTCGAATCCCCACATGGGCACAATGTGTGAAGCCCATTTCTGGTGTCCCCCGCCGTGATGTTGCTGGAATATTGCTAAAAGCGGCGTAAAACCAAACTCAGTCAGTCAGTCAGTCCAAACTGCTGTTCGACTTTCACACTGCAATGATACGCTCCAATATATTTTAACCTGAAATGTCTGGAATTTCTCTAGACAAGCAACTTGAATTCCAAATTTGGGTTTAGAATTTTCAAATTCTTGCAATATAGCTTACCTTGAGTTAAGGATTTGTAGAGGAGACTGGCATTTTACTGACAAAAAGATGAAGAAGCTTTTGATCTTAGTTCACATAAAATGCGTAAGACTAAGAACTTTGCAATTATCCAGCATATGTTCGAGCAACATATGTTTTTTCAAATTGCGTGGGTACTTCATTTTGAATCCTAGATACCTTTTCCTATACGTTTTACTGACTCACAGCATCAATATGTCGTAAACAGAGGTACAGACAAGCTGCGTATCTGCGTAAATTACGCAAATATTTATGTGAAAACTCAATTCGTATTAAGTCTCTTGGGTACAAGTACGCTTGATTTTTTGTAAATACTCAATACATTTGATCTTGCATGTGTACACACACAAGTGTCAAATCTTAGTACCAGTGGATAGATAAAGAAACAAAGGTATACTGAAAGGCTCTATTTGAGCACATGAACTTGGCAACTTGCAGTCTTTCTTATCTTTTCTCATATTACAGATCAAATATAGGTAAGAAGCACGTAAACGAACATTTAACCTTTATCATATTTTTACAATTTATGGAAAATGGCAAAATACACAGTTGAGTTTAGGTGAGGCGGGTACAATTTATTTGGTTACTCAAAGGAAAATTAGGATACCCAATTGAGATGAACACAAGCGAGTACACAACTCAATGACCCAAAAAGTTATCTGTAGCTCTGGTCACAAATATACCTTAAGTCATAATGTCTATGTATGAGAATATTGTATTTCATCATCACTCATCAGATATGGTTTTGCAAATGGAAACTGTAAATAATGTATTTATGTTTCAGGGAAAAGATGTCACTGCTGTACAAGCTCCTGATTTCAAACAGCCAGGCAAAATAGTGTTTGACGGTAAGTGTATTAACAGTTTATCATGTGGTCCTGCAAATTCATATAAATAAAAACGGATCCTCATTTTCAGGTAAATTATTATATTAAAAGCTTCACCATGAAATAACCATTGAATGATCTGACACTGAATGTAACCTAGACATGGAATGGAAATTTTGGTTTTTGCTGCATGAAATCAAAACTGCTGAAATATTGAATGGTCAGTTGGTTGCCCTGTAGCTGAGCAATCATCTGATTTGTTGGATCTTAAGACATTTCTTGCCATTCCTGAGGTATTGATAGAACTACAGTCAGGTGTGTTCTTACTAGGGGTGGGTATTGCAGAGAATTTTCATATTGCGATATGTATTGCAATATATTGCATGAAGTATTTTTAAACAAAAAACTACTTATAATCGAGGTAATGCTTGATTTATAGAGCAAATACACAGCAAAATCACTATGCTTGATTAAGCTTTAATAACAACTTTTATTCATGATTTAAAATAAAAATGTGAATAATATTTGGCTCAAATGAAAAAAGGAAATATCCGAAGATTTCCGAGTGTTACGAAGTTTTCCGAATGCAAGTCAAAATACCGGTTTTCGATCAGCGTATCGCAATACGTATCGTTTTCGTGTCTGAACCGGTAAATACCGGTAAACCGGTTATTTGCGCAGCCCTAGTTCTTACCCTGTGGCTGAACAACCATGAGGTGTTGTCAGAAATAGTCATGTGTGATCTTCCTCATTGGCTGAACAATTTGAATTGCAAGTTTAGGAATTGTTACTGACATATAGTGCAGACATGGCCTGAATATCTGAGCAGGATATATTAATGCATTTCGGAAACAGGGGTTCAAAAATCCCATCGCCAGACGCCCGGGACAAGTCAGGTTTCATTTCAGGCAATCAAATAATGGTATCTTACTTGTCCGTGGGCTACTAGAAAATTTCCACTTATGGTTTCAAACTGCAAATAAACTTGGATTTAATTTCATATCTGCTCAAAATGTACCTATTAAATTTCGCAATGATAATAAAGTAGTTATCTTTCTTTGCTATTTATCACTTTTCAATAAATAGTCCAGTAAGCATTAACATCAAATACCATGTTGATTTCTTCTTTCATAATTACATCATCATAATTATGTCTTAAAATCAGGGCAAGTGGAAAATTAGTCAGGACAAGTTACTTTCTTAAAGTCAGTTGCCCTGTGGCAAGTGGCTTTTTAAAAAAAATTTGAACCCCTGGGAAATACCTGCCTGCCCGACCACCCGGGATGGGTTATTTTCAACGCGGACTGCCAGATTCTCAAATTCAGCTGCCAGACGGACAGGTTAAGATTTAGACATGTATATGAAGATATTTTGTGGTCAGGGCTGGCAAGTTTTACATCTAACCAGCCCCGTGGTCTCACTGAATTTTTTTGGAGTTTCATACCCTGATTTCTGTATTCTCTTGTTTGTGCCAGGTCATGAGATCCCATTGTGCACAAAGGTGTGTCCTGATGCCTTGGGCAAGCACTACCACTGTCCTCTCTGCACAACCAAGAACTCCACGGAGCTGGGGCCTATGATGGCCCACCTGTGGCGGTGCCGTGAGGAGGAGAGGCAGGTTTCCACATCACCAGCTTCCAAACCCAAGTCCAAACGAGTGCCAAAGAAAGTCCCACCAGAGAGGGAAACACCGCCTGCTAAAAAGGTAATGGTTTGTTTTCAGAAATTTGTCTCACATTCCTGGTTCAGTTATGTAGGATTTAACTTTAAGGTAGTCTCTGTCATGGTATGGCTGAAATATTGCCAATGTAATGCAAAATATTAATTCACTCACTTTATGGTAGTCTCATTAAAATGAGATGTTTTATTCTGCTATGATGCTTCCATCATGAGGGATCCGTGAAGATCTGGGTTAGAATTGGTCTTCAGTAACCCATGCTTGTCGTAAGAGGCAACTAACGGGATCGGGCGGTCAGGCTCGCTGACTTGGTTGACACATGTCATCATATCCCAATTGCATAGATTGATGCTCATTCTGTTGATCACTGGATTGTCTGGTCCAGACTCGATTATTTACAGACCGCTGCCATATAGCTGGAATATTGCTGAGTGTTGTGTAAAACTAAACTCACTCACTCACTCACTACCGCCCCCATGGTGTAGTGGTTTGAGCACCCGGCGAGAACGGAAGGTCGCGGGTTTGATCCCTGGCAGTGTCATACCAAAAGCCGTTCAAATATGGTACTCTGCCTGGCGCTCAGCATTAATGGGTACAACAAGGACTGGTCGGCTCGGAGTCAGTATAACATTTCTGAGTGGGCTATTTATGCTTAACTGCGGCATGGTATCTCAGTGAGCTAGCACTATAAAACCAGCTAAAGTCTGGGCTAGTACAAGCAGCCACACAAACACACACATGCATATGAGCGAAATATTTTAAGTGCGACGTTAAACCCCATTTCACCTCACCTCACCTCACCTCACCTCACCTCACCTCACCTCACCTCACCTCACTCACTCACCAACCTCTTTGGGAAGTACAGCTTAGTGAGCTTGGCAGTTATCAGTCGCATAACCATCTCATCCTACTGGCTACCCATTTTTACTGCTGGGTGGACAGGGACATATTTCGAACAAAGTCACTTGCACAAGAGAAACCACATGTTATATGTGATTCAGTGTAGGGCTAGGAACTCTCAGAAACCTGTAAACCTAATATTACTGAACAGTTATTAAAAATGAAGGGTTGTCTTGCTGCCATTGAGGTGTTCTTCCATGGTTAAACTGCAACACATTTCTAGCACTGCTAAGTGGTGTTATATTGTCCTGTGTACAGGTCACAGATCAGGTGATATTGAGCTACACTGGTTGCTGAGAGTAGTTGGATGGGTGACCATGTTTATCAAGCTGAACTCCTTAAACTTTCTAGTGCTTTGGTCCTGTACATGGTACATGTGGTGTGTCCATTGGCAAGTGACTTTGTTCAATATATTATATGCCTCAGTTCATCCAGCAGTGAATGGGTACCAAGTAGGATGAGATTGAGGTGGGCTGGAAAGAGCTGACCTTTTGGTGCCTCACAGCTTAGGTAGTGTACTTTTAGAGGCTGAGAAAGAAAATCTCATGGTGACTGATCCGTTAACCGAGCAATCTACAGGGATGGCAATTTTCCGCCGATTTTATTTCAAATTGGTCAATTCTGTGACTGACTGACTGAGTTTGGTTTTACGCCGCTTTTTGCAATATTCCAGCAACATCATGGCGGGGGACACAATGTTAAATTTCAGCTGAAAATAGATTTTCCTGTTGAAATCCCTGAGTCTAGCTGGTAACTTTGTGCTTTATAAATATGTTACTATAGTGTTATTTTACTTCCTTGTAAGTTCTTCGTGTCCTGTTGTGACTCAGACAACTTGTTGTTTCAGCTGCACCTTTCCATAGTGAAGTCCATGGCTGACCTTCCTGTTCAGAGATGCAACTCGGACACATGCTGCGACAAGCGCTACCACTGCCCACTCTGCTCCAAGACCAAGTACAGGCCTGGCCTGGCCAGGGAGCTCCGAGACCACTTCCAGGTCCACTGGAAGGGTCGTGTGGAGTACAAAGGTAACACATCTCTGGATTTACAGATCAAGTGACTTGGGTGTTTTCATGCATATCTTGCACTATGTCCTTCCACCTGAATGTTGTTGATCATTGGTTATGCAGAAAACCACTGGTTTGCTTGTAAAGATTTGAAGTGGCATGTTAAAACAGCTGTTATTCCCTTCGTCTCACAGGTTTAAGCTTAAATGTTAATGTTTTGAAACTTGAAGTGTTCCTACCTTTAGGCTTTAACTCATAGCAAAGAGCGTGCCAAGTCTGTCCAAGTAACATCTCTGTAAAACTATTGTTGTTTTCATGGGAAGTCACTGCTCGTTTTAGATTTGTACATTAGTCTAACTTTACCACGAGAATCAAAATTAGTGCCTGTTGCATTTGAGATGCTTCCGAGATTTTGAGGACTCCTTCAGTCTGTGGGAACCTGGCACCTGAAGTACTTTTTCTTTTTTTATGCTTGAACATTCAGATTAGTTCTCATCAGTGGTTGTTGTAGAAATGGGTACAGGTAGCATTGGTATTAGTTATCTCCCCTTGTTCACCATTGGATTACCAAGACTTTTGAGAAAAACTTCAGATTACAGGGATTTATTCGTTCCAGCTGAGAGGCCAGAATTCATCCCCAAGTCTGCAATTGTTCCACATGAGCTGTATTTTTGTGTAAAAAAACAAAAACTAAATAACTATAAACCAATTATTTTTTAAGTGCTTTTCTTGAATGAGGAACCCCCCTAAATCTTTAACCTTTGCTTTAGTCTAAGGCAAAGACTACTCACTTTTATGATTAATTTCAAACACTGACAGGTAGACTCAATGCACATCTTGTTTCACAGATTTCATCATTGTGAGCTGCAACAACAACTGCCGAGACCGCCGCTCAAACCGAGCATTCACACACTACCACTGTCCCGAGTGTTCTGCGCTGATCTATGGCAAAGAGGTTTTTGAGTCCCACCTGGAGACCTGCAGCGACATTCAGGCCACAGCAGCCCCCACTCCTAGCCCCAGGGGGCCGGGGCGACCCCGAAAGTCAGAAAGGAGGGTAGTGGAGACGACAGCTGGTAATGACACTGAGCCACAAGTAGTGTTGCCAGAGGAAGAGGAACCAGCACTTCCTGCCTATGAACCCCCGCCCGTCCCCAAAGCGGCACGAGGCCGCATGACCATCTCATCCAGAGAGAAGGCAATGCTTGCCCTTGCTGAGTCATCAGATGATGATATGGGGGTAAGGTTTACCTTTGTTGTATTTGTCGCAATAATCCAGCTGTATTTTGGTGGTCTGTAAATAGTCAAGTCTGGACCAGACAATACAGTGATCAACAGCATGAGCATTGATCTACGCAATTGGCATTTGATGTAATGTGTGAACCAAGTCAGTGATACTGACCGACCGATCCTGTTTGTTGCCTGTTATGACAAGCATGGATTCCTGAAGACCAATTCTAACCTGGAGCTTCATGGGTAGCTTGTTATATGTATGCCATTAGCCCTCACACTGCACTACATGGTGATTCTGGGTTACAAATGGTCTCCTGCAACCTATGCTTGCCATACGGGTCGACTGAGTGGATTGGATGGTCAGGCTCAGTGGCTTGGTTGATACCTGTCGTTATACCCCAATGGAGTGAATTAGGGCTGGGAGGGGTAACCCGGACCCATTATGATCATGTGACTAATAGATTAAACAATGTAATATGTTACTCTTTCATGATTAAAAGGTTGTATTGTCTTTGAAGATTTAGACATTATTTAAAGTCACTTCTTTTGAATAAAATACATGGTTAAGATATTGAAAAAAATCGTTATTTTAGCCCCCGAACTGAGGAATGTATTGCCTTTTCTTGCAAATTTGATGTCAGGAATTAATATAACAGGTAGGGTAGGGTAGGGTAGGGTAGGGTAGGGTAATAGTGGGTGAGGTACTCGGGTATAAAATTTGGACCCATTCCAGCCCTAGAGTGGATAGTTGTCTGCCATTTTCCTCACTGGATTGTATAGTGCAGAGTTGATACTTTACAGGCCAGCATTATATAGCTGAAATATTTATACAATTAGATAACATAATAATGATAATGGTTTTTGTCTAACTGTTACGATTGGTTTTAGCCTAAAAATCTGCTTGTCCTCAGACAAATCATTACACATTGTTTTCATGAAGCATTTACCTACATAATATTTGAAAGAGAGCAGTTGGTGACATGAAACATTCTAGACTTTACTGACCAATGAGAGCCTTAATATTATTGACTTTACCTCAAAGCAACTTTCACTCACTCCCTTATTGCTCTCTACTCAGCTACATATCATATCCCATGTCTGCCCTGTGTTCTGTCACACTGTAGTAAGGATAGAGTTTTCTGTCACAGGCTTTTGATAAAGTGACAGCCATCATCTCCAAGAAGATCATCACATCGCTGGCCGCCAGCACCAGTGTTGAGGACGTGCTGGATGATGTTGCCAAGAACACCGGCATCAACTGGAGCTGGTCTCCTGGCACCGTGGAGCCTGTCTACGTCATGAGCGGCGACCTCATTTCACTTGTTAAAGCCAAGCGTCTGCTGAAGGAACTCAAAGAGGTGGGCTAGCAACACAGTTGTTTCCTTTGCCTGGATGATTTAGACGGTGATTGATGTTTCAGAATTTGTGAAAACAATTAAATTAAACATAGAAGTAAATGGAGCATGCCTGTCTGTTTTTGGTTCTTACATTTTAGACATCTCTAAAAGTGTGAGGCCTATTGACTCAATGACTGAGTTCAAACTTTGTGTAAATGTGATCATGACTTCTTTGAGTGGCATTTTAGAAGTTGGGAAGTACAATATAGAACTTTATGGATAACAATGGTACAAGATTCTGTATCGAAACGTCACACTCACGAATAAAAAGAAGTTCCCTTGTTTCCTCATAATACAGGTGAGGTAAAACGCCTCATGGCTGTTTCTATTTTATTAAAACTTCCTGTATTGTTACAAGTGTGAAGAGATCATGGTCTGTGTTGTAGGACTACGAGACGCGGAGACTACGTGAATTGGAGGAAGCAGAGTCTGAGGTGGAAGACTATGAACCCCCGTTACACTTTGCATCTTGTGAGTCTGTTAGATGCTATTAACTGATAAGATCATTCATGTTTAGAATGTTGATTATTGTAATTATGTCTCCCCTTTCCCTGGCTCACTTTCCATTGGAGCTGGTTGCTGGTCTCAGCAATGGTGTCTGCATCAGCAGTATCACCTCTTTCTTGAAAATTGTCAATGACATGTCTCACATGCATTGCCGATCTCCATGTCAGGTGTCATACTCTTGCACAATGATTCTTCATTTGCTGTTATTTTTCCTTGGAAACCGGGGCGGTGGGGTAGCCTAATGGTTAAAGCGTTGGCTCGTCCCGCCGAAGACCCAGGTTCGAATCCCCACATGGGTACAATGTGTGAAGCCCATTTCTGGTGTTCCCCGTCGTGATGTTGCTGGAATATTGCTAAAAGCGGCGTAAAACCAAACTCAGTCAGTCAGTCCTTGGAAACCATTTGGCTTCAGTCTCAAACAATTCCAGGGTTCCTGTTCAAGCCATTGCTCATACACATGTATTAGGGGTGGGTATTGCAGAGAATTTTCATATTGAGATATATTGCGATGCGAAAGCATATATTGCGATATGTATTGCAATATATTAATGGAGTAGTTTTAAACAAAAAACTACTTATTGTGGAGTTAATGCTTGATTTATCGAGCAAAAACACAACAAAATCACTATGCTTGATTAAGCTTTAATAACAACTTTTAATCATGATCAAATATAAATGTAAATAATATTTGGCACAAATGAAACAAGGATATATCCGAAGATTTCCGAGTGTTATAAAGTTTTCCGAATGCAAGTCAAAATATCGGTTTTCGATCAGCGTATCGCAATACGTATTGTTTTCATGTTTGAATCGGTAAATACCGGTAAACCGGTTATATTATGCAGCCTTAACATGTATATTATTGTATGAAACTGTACATATGCAATGACATACTCAACAAATGCCTTTTCATATTTTACAATTTTTTTATTTTTTTTATATCTTGTGTTTGACTTAGAAACAGTTAGGACTAATGTTTAAAATGAAACATAAGTTTTTATGATTGAAAACTCACTCTAGTTTAATGTACTTTTTTAATCTTTGCTGCATAATAAGGGTTATTGCCTAGTAAGATTCTAAGTTTAATTCTCAGTGTCTGGGTAATATCAGTATTCTGAAAGTTTTCTAACATGAAAATAGTATGGCTACAGACACAGTGATACTATTGTTTGCCTACAGTTTGCATATTCTTGACTTGATACTGAAGACCAGGATTCAATTCCCTACATGGGTGCAATGTGTAAAGCCCATTTCTCGTGTCCCCCGGCAAGACATTGCTGGAATATTGCATAAAATCATACTCACTCACTAACATTCACTCACTCTATTTTACAAATTTTCGCAGTAAGTAAATTTGAACTATTACCTTTCAGGTGACACCCCGAGTGAAGCTGCAGATGAATCGGCAGTGATACCTGAGAAGATCATTCTACCTCCTCCACAAACCGCTACCACAGTACTAGCACAGCAAGGTCAGCCACTGCAGATGGTGGTGGACTCCGTGTCTGGTGTTGCTCAGATACAGGCTCCTGTACCAGCTGCTGTCCATCAGCCCACAATGGAAGACATTGGCAGCGGGGAGCTTCACATCTCAGCGGAGGAACATACCGCTCCAAATACATATGACACAATCCAAGGAGAGGCTATGCTTACTGAAGACATACTACAACGGTCTGTCATAATAGCTGCTGACAACAACATCATCACCTTGCCTCAGGTCTCAGTGGAGTCAATACCCCAGACCTCTGTCAGTGACTTGCAGATCGGACAGAACTTCGCAGATTCTTTAATGGAGGCTGCTTCCGCAGAGCTGGTTGTTGAAGGGACCACACAACATCCAAGTGTTCAACTGTCCGAAAATATCTTTCAACCAGACTTTGAAAGCACCGAAACCTCAATCATTGAAATTCCAAATACTGTGGAAAGTAGTGAGATTGATTCAAAGGTTTTGACTGACGAGATCAGTGGAGATTTAACATCATTGAAAGAAGATGCGAAAGAGAGTGCAGAAGGAGAGACTGACCATTCTACGATAGAAATACCAGCTGATATTCCTTCTTCAGAGACCGCTGCTGGTGTGGAGTTGCAAGAGAAGATATTTGATGACCAGGGCAGTAAGGATGATGTTAAAGAAAGTCAAGATGACAAGGAGGATAGTGAACATGGAGACGTCATTGAAATTGCAGACTTGCCACCCATAGAAAATACGCCATCTCTGAAGAATGAAGTCACTGATCTGACAAACAGCAAGAGTGAGGAGAAGGAGAAAGTGACGCCATCTCCCAGAAAGAGAAAGTCCATCCCATTCACACCAGAAAGAAAATATTCCACAAGGGGTGTGAAAGTGAATTTCACTGAACTCCACACTGGAAGAAAACAGACTGTGGTGGCATCTAGTGATGATGACACTGATGATGTACCAAGTCCTTCGCCCAAACCAAGAGGTCGGGGTAGACCTCCTGGGAGCAGTGGCTTAGGCAGAGGTCGACCCCCAGGAAGAGGAAAGAAGAGAGGAAGAGGTCGTCCTCCCAAGAGGGGAAGAGGACGTCCTCCCAAGAGGCCGAGACTTGAAGAGATTGAGAGGGAAGAAGAGGAGGAGGAAGAAGAAGAGGAGGAGGAAGTAGAGGAACATTTTGATGAAGAAGATATGGATGATGATGATCCAGATTACGTTATGGTGGAGAGAAATAAAAGCAATGGTGGGGAGGATGACACAGATCCTGGGGAAGAAAGTCCAAAGAAGAAATTCAAAACTCCTCCTGCACCAGTTGAGACTCACATTGCTGCCATGCCTGTGGTTAGATTTGCTGGACAAACTAGGGGACAGAAAGAAAACAAGCCAGAGGAATCACCCCTCGACATGCTGTTGAATTCCATCAAGACAGAGGTGATTGATCCAGATTATATGATCCCAGTAAGGACTCGGGGGGAGAGGACGGGGCCGAGGAAGAGGCCGAGGAAGGAGGAAGGCTGACTCGTTTGACAACATGTTTCTGGAGGAGGCTTTCAAGCCTCAGCCTTGCCTTGATTGTCCATTCCTAGCCGAGTCCTTTTCTCTACTGACAGATCACATGATAGAAGTGCATAACATAACAGACCACTTGAGATGTGACATCTGTGAGAAGGCCTTCACACGCCAGAAACACATGACGCATCACCTGATCATGAAGCACGGGCCTCTAGCGCGCTGGCTGATGGACAGGTGTATCAGCATGATGGGGAGGAGATGGGGAACAAGTGCAGCATTTGTGGCTGGGAGTCACAGGAGTTTTCCGAACTCACAGATCACTACATCAACCATCATCAGGCCTACGACGTCCTGCGTTGTGATGTGTGTGAAATTGTGTTTAAGAAAGCTCGCCATCGGACTACTCACCTCGACAATGTTCATGGCCCACGCAACAGAAAGGGGACATTTGTCTGTGACCTGTGTGGTCACACATGTGACAAGCAGCGCTCTCTCAACTGGCACAAGAGTTATGCCCATAACATGAGCACGAAGAAAAACCCTGATATTTTGTACTGTAGGAAGTGTGACTTTGAAACCAACGAGCAGAGTGAGATGAGGTTGCATAAACGCACTCATCTGGAGGACAGGAAGTGGTGTGATCTGTGCAAGAAGTCGTTTTCTGCCACCACAGATATGAAAACTCATATGCAAGCTGTACATCTGAAGACCAAGTCGTGTACCTGTTCAGTATGTGGCAAGACATTCAGTCACTGGCGATACCTCACAGCTCACATGGAGCGACACACCGGGGAGAGGAAACACTTGTGTAATGTGTGTGGACAGCGCTTTAGCAAGGCTGCCATTTTGAAAGAGCATATAGAGACTCACAAGGTGATGAGTGAGCGAAACTACAAACACATATGTCCCTACTGCGACTCTCGTTACTATAGCAAAGACAAGTACATGGACCATCTTAATAAACACACAGGAGAAAAGCCTCATCGGTGTGAGGAGTGCAACAAGGGCTTCAGTTTCAGGAGCATGTTACTCAAACATAGGATCTACGTACATACCACTGATCGCCCCTTTAAATGTGACTGTTGTGACAAAGCCTTTAAGTTCAAGCAGATCCTCAAGAACCATATGGTTCTCCATACAGGTGAGAGTAAGTACATCTGTGACGGGTGCAAGAAACCGTTCTCCTGTAGCGCCACTCTGAAGACACATCGACCAAAGTGCCGCGGAGATCAGTCCTGGCAGAAGCGCAAGTCAGGCGTGGCCAAGGCTGTAGCAGCATCAGGACCACCGACGATGATGGTGCCGAAGCAGGAGTATCAGGAGTTGACGCAGCTGCAGCTTGACCCGCAGCAGATTCAGCAGGTGCAGGTGGACAGCGCTGCCCTACAGCAGGTGCATGTTGCTGTGTCTCAACCAAACCTCACCCAGCTTGTCGACACCATCGTTGTGGAGATGGGCGATGGGCAACGCAGCATCGTGGACCTCAACTCTCTTGAAGCTGCTACTCAGATGACTGAGACGGACAATGTGGCTACGGGTATTTACTTGTGTAGTGTATGTAATGCCATGTTTGATACAGTCAATGCAGCTGAGGAACACATCGCCCAGGCACATGCTCCAGGCAAACAGGATGTTGAAGATGCTCAGGAGAAGCTGGAGCTGGAGGAGGTGATGGAGGCAGAAGCAGACGCCAATATCACCAATCTCATCTCAGAACTTGAAACAAAGGTCAAAGCCAAGCTCGATCACTCGCTCTTGGAGGGTTTGAAGCCAACGCAATAAGAGACTCAGAAGTTGTTTGAAGTTGTTGGAATTCCAGTTATTTATTCTTCATGTTCTTATAACCTTGTTACTTGTGTATATGGTTTTTTCATTGCAGCAATAAGTGCCCACGATGTTCTCCATCAGAGCACACAAATCTTATCATGCATTGTATGTCTGTGTTAAATGGATGGAAAATAACACTAGCCTGCTTGCCTGGACCAGTTTCGTTAATGTTAATGGTATCCTTTGCACAAGAAAAACAGTAATTCATTTTGCAGGGTATTACTTTCAGGCTCTTAGACAATCTTGTTTTTTTCCCATCCATGCTGTATGTTATGTTTGATCAAGACCAAAAAGCTGAATTTTGATGACATGCTGTATGTAATATTTTTGTCTGCAAAAAATCTTTATTACTGTTGTCGTGTTTTACAATGATCATTCTGCTTCTGGGTAGCGTGATATAGTTTTATGTGCTTTAATGATTTCAAGTCTTGTATGACAAGACGAAATATGAGTATGTTTTCAAAAGATTATTGAGGTTGATTGGTCTCTCGTTCCAAAGAAATGACATCAATATCAAGTAAATTTCAAGAGATTTTAGACTTTTAATTGTGACCATATCTGACACTGAAACATCAAATGGCAACATTCCCCAAACTTCCCATGTAGTCAAAACCTGATTCCCTTATTTGCTACATATATCTTCCACTTTCACAGGTAAAGGTCCCAATATCTATACTAAAAGGTACTGCAGGTTGTTTCAGTGAAAAATAATTGCATATCAGTCAACTGTTATTATTCTTAGTAGAATCATAGATATTTGGAAACCAAATTCTAACCAATATAAAAAAGTGAAAGACATGATTTTAAAAATTAAATATCATCAGTAATAAAGACAAGTAACTGATATCACTGCAAATATTTTCACAGACAGAACACTACAATAATCATTACTTTTTGCATGTTTTATTGGACTTTGGGGAAAGAAGGCTTACTAATGGTTTTCCAACTATGAGATTTCATGGTTATACAGTCAATCATGCTAATGTTTATAACTAATGATTGTTTTTTAAAGTTTCATTTTTGGACACTTATGATTATCCCAAATATTTCTTCTAAGTTTAGTATGGGATTGATCTTTTGGCATGTATTTACTTCAGCGTAGGCTGAAGACAATACTTCATAACAGAAAAAAAACTAAACAAATACTAAGCTAGCAGAATATTGGAAACCACAGCAGTAGCAGTTTACACAAAGCCACATTTGCCCAACACTTGCTTGAGCTTAAGTTCATTTTCCTCTGTTCTAAAAGAGAAGTCCTGTCAGAATTATGGAATCAATTTTAAAGTATACTTAACTTCTACTTGTTTGGGATGGTCTTTGCAGTCCTTTCAAAGGCATTGAATAACAAGGATTTTACATTTGTGCAGTATTACCTTTATGATCCTATTACACAGTATTTAGAACTCAATATAATGTACTCCCATGTTAACAGTTATGAAAAAGAAGTATCCTGATGTAAGTTAAAGTCAGGCTTTTCTATATTTTGGTTTCAGACAAACTTTATGGATGAACAACTTCTTTATTCGGTAGATGCATAAAGTTTGTATATTACTCGCCAACTTCTAAAAAAAGCCATTTTAAGGAGTACATATTGGTTTACATATCGTTTCATTAAAAACTCATTTATCATGTGATAAAGACTAAACTCAACATGACTTTTCTAATTCTTTTTGAATTTGAGTGTGTTGCCTTCTGGGATATGTTTGTTGAGGTGATCATGATGTAGGTTTGATGGATCTGTATACCAAGAGATAAAAGAGTTAAAAACTACTTTTGTATCAGCGTTCTGTACATTTAGTCCTTTAATTTATAGGCATATAAATAAATAATGTTTGTGCTGTCCTGAGTCAGTGTGACTTGCCAGTGTATACATGTGTGAGAAAGCTTTGTGATGCATGGAGTTGAACCACCTAATTGTACAGTGTATATAGACAGGAATACAGAAATTCCATGAAGGTTCTTGATAAATCAAATAGACTGTAATGTGGTTTGTGTTATTTTTTCAATCAAAGGAAAGATTCAGGTAAGTCTTTGGATACCTGGAGAAATTAACTTCACTTGTTTCAGAGACATCTATTCATGACAATGATTAATAGGCCTATGCCTATCAGTAATATATAAATTAGTTCACGACAGGATTTTGACTGTGCAATTCAGAGCATTCATTATCCGGTTTTAGCATAGGTTTGAATCCTGGTTTGTCCCATTCATGGGGTGGTGGGGTAGCCAAATGGTTAAAGTGTTCGCTTGTGATGCTGAAGACCCGGTGTAGCAGCCAAGAATAACCCCCAACCAGTTTATACCCTGGGGTGTATTCTTGACCAGGCCAAAGTATACCCCTTCAGCCCAGACTATACCCCTAAAAGATTATGTTTACAAGTGTGTGACTCCGGGCAATGAACTCGGTGTCATGAAAAGGTATTTGTAGGTGCATTTCATTTATTTTTCTGCATAATACAAACTTTATGAAATATTTGTTGATTCCCTCAATGCGTTGTGACATTTTCAACTTTGCGTAAGCCAGCTATGCTGATATATCATCAAGGTGTAAAACCACATGCACATAATTTCTTAAGGGTTAGGGGGGCGGTTGGGTAGCCTAGTGGTTAAAGCGTTCACTCGTCACGCCAAAGACCCAGGTTCGATTCCCCACGTGGGTACAATGTGTGAAACCCATTTCTGGTGTCCCCGGCCGTGATATTGCTGGAATACTGTTAGAAGTGGCGTTAAGCCATACTTACTCCTCACCCAGTCTTCCCATTTATGTTTCTAGGTTGGACAGCACCTCTGTGCTCATAAGTTTGACTAAAGTGGTTAGGGCAGACAAGCTGTGATATAACTGGAATACTCTTCAAAGCTGTGTTAAAACCCACTCTCTTTTGGGACTGTATTCCAGATTCCTTGTATGTGACGACCAATTCTGTGAGGCATTCTTCCATGTTTGATGTTCGTTGACAATCAGTTCTGTTGGTGCTGTGTTCTGCATTTTGTGTATGTTGACAATAATTTCTGTTGGTGCCACTTGTTGATTTGTTGTAATCTGACGATCCATATTGTTGGTGCAGTATTCGACACGAGCAGTATGCTAACGGTCTATTGTGTTGGTGCAGTATTCGATACAAACAGGGGGCGGTGGGGTAGCCTAGTGGTTAAAGCGTTGGCTCGCCACGCCGAAGACCCGGGTTCGATTCCCCACATGGGCACAATGTGTTAAGTCCATTTCTGGTGTCCCCCGCGTGATATTGCTGGAATATTGCTAAAAGCGGCGTAAAACTAAACTCAGTCAGTCAGTCGATACAAACAGTATGGTGAAAGTCTATTATGTTAGTGCAGTATTCTACACTTGCAGTATGTTGACACTCGTTTATGTTGTTACAGTATTCTTAAAAGGAGTATGCTGACTCCGAAAAACTGATACCCTATTTTATTGGTGCAGTATTGTATACAAGCAGTATCCTGATGGTCTATTGTGTTGGTGCAGCATTCCACACAAGCTGTATGCTGACGCCATGTTGTATTGGTTCAATATTCGAAACTAGGTAATTCTAGGTATATGGAGACCTATAAAGATCAGGGATAGAATTGATCTTCAGTAACCCATGCTTGTCGTATACGTAAGAGCCAACTAACCGAATCACTTAGGATTCCGTCAGTGAAGACTGTAAAAACTCGGTAGATTTTCATGTATTGATACAGGGCCAGAACCGATTAACCGCTTGTAAAAATCCACAAAAATGGCCATCTGGTCGTGTGGCTGCAGACCCCGTTGGAACGTTGCTCAAATTTTAAGTCACTGATTAATACCAAACTGAGTGCGTTTTGCTTCCACTCACCAGCCATACAAAATTGGACCCGTGAAGATCCGGGTTTGAATTGTCGTCAGTAACCCATGCTTGTAGCAGGCGACGAACGGGATCGGGTGCATGGTCAGGCTCGCTGACTTGGTTGACACACGTCTTCGTATCCCAAATGCGTTGTTCGATGAGCATGCTGTTGATCACTGGATTGTCTAGTCCAGACTCGATTATTTACAGACCGCCGCCATACAACTGGAATATTGCTGAGTAGGGCGTTAAACAACAACCAAACCAAACCATACAAAATTTAAGGGTATGTAATGCACGCACTGAAACGTTAACCGGGGCTGTGGTAAGTGTTATAGTTCATTCGTACATCCCAGTTTGATTTTAGACATGGCTTCAAATGTGTAAGTCTACGTTTCATTTATTCTTAGACGCTTACCGCTTTGGATTACGGCTTATTATAGTGAATGAGGGGGGTTTTACGCCGCTTTTAGCAATGTTACAACAATATTAGATGAATATTACGGCAGGGGACACTAGAACGGGCTTCCCACACTGTACCCATGTGGGGAATCGAATGGCTTAATATTACTTATCACAGGCAACATGTGCTGGTTTTATGAGTCGACCAAATGGTTAGGATCCGTGTCGTTATTGTTGAGTGTCATCTCAACGGAAGATGTTGACTGCTCATAATATCAATCAGTTTCTGTTCCAGACTAGATTTGGACAGACCGCCGTCATATTACTCAGAAATATGCCGACTGCAACGCTAAACAGCAAACAAACGTTATGACCATTGGCTAATAATCGTTAAAAGCGACACAAAGAAGTACTGACCTCTCCACTGGACGCTGAAAAAAATAATTGGAAATTAAGTGATTACATGAAAATACAAGTTTTCCTTCATTCGTTCCCAAATTTCCCCACAGAGTACAATACAAAGCATGCTAGGAAATATCACGGCAGGGGACATCGGAAATGGGCCTCGCACATTGTACCCATTTTGGGATTCGAACCCGGGTCTTCGGCGTGACTAGCCGAGCGCCTCGATGCGGTCCTATATATACAGTGATGCAACGTCATGTCTTGAATGTATGGGACCGCATCGCGACAAGCGAACGCTTTAACCACTGGGCTACCCCACCGCCATAGGACATAGGAACACTCGTACATTTTTGTGTTCGCTTATCTATTACCTTCTGTACATGATAAAAATATACCAGTACATGTATTAGTTATAATAAAGCAAAAATGCACCAACGGCTATCTCTATACTCAACCTCTTACCCTTGACAACAACAGCTGCCCCAATCACCGTGTTCTGACCAGAATTGTAGGTATATTCTCCAACTGTCGTCAGGCAAACGAGGCATGCCGCGTTGACATGTTCTCGCTCGTATGTCGTCGCGACGATGTGACAGCCTTGACGGTGTCGTCACGCACGTCCATGTTGCTGTATTTGCACTACTGGTTAGATCCCCCCTCCCACGTCACGTCTTAACGCTGTGGTCAGTGGACTGATACAGTCGATGGACACTACTACTTACTGAAACACGGCGCGTCAACACGCTCGCACTATTTTTTTCAACAATTTCGTTTGACTTTCGTATTAGCACGAGTTCGAACCTACGGAAAAAATGTGTCGCGCCAGCTCGGTATTTGGGCTTCTGTATGAATTGTTACAGTAGTTCTCGCTGTGAAAAAAACTGAAACAAATGTTTTGTTTATTGTGTTAATTAGGCTTCTGAAGAGACGCGAGGCGTTTGTGCAAAAGGATTACGGTATAATTGTCATATAAGCATATCATAAGCATATTCACAATGGTTATGTTGCTGTGTAATTATAAACAAGCAAACCACCAACACCACCCAAAAAAAGACCCGAAACACTACCCCCTCCCCCACAACTTCCTAGAAACATAAGAAAAACAAACCCAAAAAAATAGAAAAGAACAACTACAAACAATTTTAATTTCATCGTTAATTTATTTTCATATTAAATTGACTCGACCCAACAAAAGAACTAGAATCTGTACATTACTGAGAAAGTGTAGTCTCAAATGAAATAAATGTAACATTTAATTTTAAGAGTTTAATGTATCCCTATTAACTGATGTGTTAAAAACTAAAGTTTCCGCGGGGACAAATAGTAAAATATTGAAGCATATTCCCATAATCATGCTGAAAATATTCATATACAAACTTCTACCTCAGAGCAATGATTAAATAGGATATATTGTAAAAATAGTGAGGTGTATTCCTATACAATAATGCTTTAAGAATCACATCCAAACTCTCTGCTAAGTTTTAACATGTAATTTATCACTAAAAAATAAAAAAATAATAAAAATTGGAAATATAGTCAAATCGTAATGAAATGTATTCGTATTCATTGTTTGTTTCTACAGTCCATGCTCAATTGGATGGTTTTGATTTCAGGTATATTGTCATAGTCCTTATCCCTCCTCTTGAAACTCCGGCAAAGCCTGTATCTAGAGTGTGACATTTAGTAACAAGTTGACATACCGGGTCCGTCACAGGGGACAGGCTCCAAGGTTGTCACCAGGTCACGTGATGTGACACCCTGGCTTGATGTCCGGTCCGGTCCGACAGAACTTAGTACGGCGGGGAGAGCAAGTTTGCATAAAAACCCAGACCGACAGAGTCTGCCATCAGTTCTCACCATGGCGATTCCCTGGAACACTTGTGGATTCCTGCTGATACTAGGTAGGTGGACTTATACTGAACATACGATGTACATGTAGTACTGTAGCAGACTGTACACTTGAGGTCGCATAGGAACTTAGAGTTTTTGTTTCAAGTCGGGATAATTTTTCGTACACCCCAAGGCAAACACCCGGTTTATTCCCTATCAAGTTTTCATTTGTGAATGACTTTTTCCGGACATCCACTATTGGGGTGAAGTGTAAAATATTATTTCCTATTTTATCAGGAACGAAATATTATTATTATTTTAAATTAATGTCCTTTCAACCGAACTACCCGTATTTGCTCGCCATCTCGTAAAATGTTCAGTTCTTTTTTTTTTTACATAATGGGTGTTTATACCCATTCAGAAACTGAAGCGTCTGACATCTTAGAGCTCAGTACTTTAGAACTTACAAAATGACGATTTACAATAACTTGACGTCTGGATGTCATACTTATATTTGGGTATTTAAGACGATCCATTGTTTTCAACGGGGGCGGTGCGGTAGCCTAGTGGTTAAAGCATTCGCTCGTCACGCCGAAGACCCTGCATTGGCGGATCCAGAGAGGGGGTGGGGGCGGTTGTCAGGGTTTCTCTTATCTCTCTCCCCCCCGCTCTCTCCCTCTCCTCCTCCCCCCTCTTTGAAAATTCCTGGATCCGCCTCTGCCTTTTATGAAAGTCATGTCACTGGGGTTAAAATCCCTGATTGACCTGGGCGGTGCGGTAGCTTGGTGGTTAAAGCGTCCGCTCGTCACGCCGAAGGCCCGGGGTCGATTCCCCACACGGGTACAATGTGTCAACTTACTGTGAAGCCTATTTCTAGTGTTCCCCGTGATATTGCTGGAATATTGCTAAAAGCTGCGTTAAACTACACTCACTCACTCCTGGTTGACCATTCAAAGTACAGTATGCATCAATGTCAATGTATGATGAAACAACACAGTTCTGGGCCATCCTGTCAAATAAAACAATTGTCATCTTCCTTTTCTTTTGCAGTCAGCGCCGTTTCAGCTGGGTCGTGGAGCTCCTCCGCTCAGTCCAGTTCTATCGAGTGTAACGAACACGGTTTCGCCCGGGACCCCGACGACTGTGGGGCTTTCTACAGGTGCGCCAATGGGAAGAACTACTGGTTCCAGTGCCCCGCCAACCTCAAGTTTGACCTGACCATCAGTGTCTGCAATTGGCCTGCAAGTGTCGATTGTAGCTCATCTTACCCAGCCAACAACGGTTATGAGCCTCAGTACCCCTATGCCCCACCCCCGACGTACAAGCCGACGTACCAAGAGCCCGCCCCTACATACGCCCCTCAGCCCACCTACACATCGAAACCAGTATACAGGAAGCGACCCAGGAAGCCTTCCTACAAATCACATTCGCAGCCAGTGCCCCAGCCAATGCCCCAGCCTCAGCAACCAGTTTACCAGCAACCAATGACCCAGGCCCCAGTCTACCAGCAACCAATGACCCAGGCCCCCATGTACCAGCAGCCGATGACCCAGGCCCCCATGTACCAGCAGCCGATGACCCAGGCCCCCATGTACCAGCAGCCGATGACCCAGGCCCCCATGTACCAGCAGCCGATGACCCAGGCCCCCATGTACCAGCAGCCGATGACCCAGGCCCCCATGTACAGGCCACAGCAGCCTGTGTACCAACCCAGGAAGCCTGTGTACCGTCAACCCATGACCCAGGCCCCGAAGTACCAGCAACCAACGTACAAGAAGCCCACATACAGCCAGAACAATCAGAACATGTACGCCCAGCAACCCCAATACGGCGGCATGAACGGCGGTATGAACGGCGGGATGAACGGCGGTATGAACGGCGGTATGAACGGCGGCATGAACGGCAGGATGAACGGAGGCATGAACGGCGGTATGAACGGCGGTATGAACGGAGGCATGAACGGCGGGATGAACGGAGGCATGAACGGCGGTATGAACGGCGGTATGAACAGTGGATGGGTTTACCAACAGAAGAAGCAACAAAAGTCAGGAGGATCCAACTGGGGCAACAAGAAGAACCTTTTCCCCTCAAACATGAACGGAGGCATGAACGGCGGTATGATGAGCGGTGGGTGGTCCACAGGAAAGAAGACCGGTGGCTACGGACAGGGCCTGTTCCCGTCCAGCATGAACGGCGGTATGATGGGAGGTATGCAGGGCGGTATGATGACCGGTGGATTTTCCAATGGGAAGAAAATCGGCGGATATGGACAGAGCTTATTCCCATCTCAGTTGAACGGTGGTATGATGGGCGGTGGTATGATGGGAGGCCACATGATGGGCGGCAATATGATGGGCGGTATGATGGGCGGCAACATGATGGGAGGTGGTATGATGGGTGGCCACATGATGGGCGGCAATATGATGGGCCAGACCACCCTCTTCCCTCCCTACCTTCCCCAGAAACCCAAAGCCAACAGCCTCCTCGGGATGCTGATGCAGATGCAACAGCAACAGAAGAACCCCGGCGGCGGAATGAGCCCCATCCTCATCCCCTACCCCTTCCCCCCAGAGTGGTTCAACATGAACACCGAGTCCACCACCATGTCCACGACGGAAGCAACGACAACGACGCCAGCTGGAGGCAAGAAGGGCAACAACATCTTCTTCATCTCCATGGTACCTCCTATGTTCCCCCCACCGTTCCCAGGTCCACCCTTGGACGGACCTTGCGGAGGGTTCCCTGATTCTCCTTTCCCCTTCAACAACTCTGAGCCAGCCTGCGGCCTCATTCGCGCCTCCCTCGGCGCCACCAACCCCTTCGGCGGTGTTCCCGGTCTTCCTCCAATTTCGTCCGCCGGCGTTAGAAGTCAGGGTTCAGGTACGTCCGAGACACTCCCCCCTTTATTGGCAATATGTCATAGACCTTCCCACTTATGAAGACCCGAGCTAGGGTTGGTCTTCAGCAACCCATGCTTGTCGTAAGGTTCGACCAACGCTGACTTGGTTGACACATGTCTTCGCATCCCAAGTTTGTAGATGAATGCTCATGCTGTTGATCACTGGATTGTCTGATCCATATTCGATTATTTACAGACCGCATAGCTGGAATATTGCTGAGTGCGGCGTTAAACAACAAACAAACATCATAGACCTCATAGATATAAATGGGGCGGTGGGGTAGCCTAGTGGTTAAAGTGTTCGCTTGTCACGCCGAAGACCGGGTTCGATTACCCACATGGGTACAATGTATGAAGCTCATTTTTGGTGTCCCCCCGGTGCGATATTGCTGGATTATTACAAAAAGCGGCGTAAAACCATACTCACTCACTCACTCAGAATGGCGAGTGAATTCACGGCTAAAAAGCAGCAACAGCGTGACGACATCGACATCATAGCTGCTTAATAATTTAAATCATGATATTTATCAGTAAGGCTCCGGGTCCCGGTCAACAAAGCGTTCGTAACGCTAGGCCATTCGTAAGCCTATGATGAACTATAGACTTACGACAGGTCGTAACGTTACGATCTCTTTGTGGATCGGGACCCTGTGCAATACAGAAACACAAATACAGCTGTTGGCATGGTGATGATATGGTTTATACTCCACTGCAGGTTGCCGGACCATCAGTTCGGGACAGAGGTCAATGGACATCAACTTCGTGGGATCATCCAACCGTTTGTCTAACCCCCAGTGTATGGCGTTTGAGGCCCTTCTTAACAGCTTCACTTCAACCTACCTGGAAAAGATGGTTCAGAGAGACAACACCAGGAGCAACGAAGCCTGCACCGTGTCCGTCCCCGACATCAGGGTCAACTGTAACTAGAGCTATGGTGGGTATTGTGTACTACAATGTGTACAGCGATTGTTGGTACTGATTAAATCAATGTGTCATGTATTTGCAAGCGTATGTACATATTAAACCTGGACGAGTGGGATGGGAATTTCAGCGTTTGGTCCGTATTCCAGGGCGGTGGGGTAGCCTAGTAGTTAAAGCGTTCGCTCGTCATGCCAAAGACCCGGGTTCGATTCCCCCCCCATGGGTACAATGTGTGAAGACCGCCTCCGTGGTGTAGTGGTTAGAGTCTCCGCCCGGAGAGCGGAAGGTCGCGGGCTCACCTCGACCGCGTCATACCAAAAGACGTACAAATATGGTACTTGTTGGTCCCTGCCTGGCGCTCGGCATTAATGGGTACGACAAGGACTGGTCGGCTCGGAGTCAGTACAATGTGTCTGAGTGGGGTATTCATGCTTCACTGCGGCATGGTATCTCAGTGGGCTAGGACTATAAAACCAGCTTCAGTCTGGGCTAGTACAAGCAGCCACACATACACGTACACACGCATGCACGTCGTCATATGAGCGAAATATTCTTAAGCACGACGTTAAACCCAATTTCACCTCACCTCACCTACAATGTGTGAAGCCTATTTCTACTGCCCCCGCCGTGATATTGCTGGAATATTGCTGAAAGCAGCGTAAAACCACACTCAGTCAGTCAGTTATCCTCTGCACGCCGAGCTCAAGGCGGGGTAACAACAAGTCGCATAGTTTAACGTTTCAAGGTACTGATGTATTTGAATACTTTCGTATGTGTGCTTACATTTTTTGGGCACGTGTAAATTGGTTGGGGTAAGTGAGGGAGATGTTTTAAATGTGAAGTGGACAGATTTCACATAGGTTCTTTACAATAGACAGTACCCCCTGAAATCGTATTTTCAATGCTTGTCTTCAGCCGTTTGCGATCTATAGACTGTTCTATATTGTATTGTTTGTAGTTTTCATGCTAGTTTTTCTGGATTATGCATGTACAACTTGTTTTAGTCATTATATGGCTGGAATATTCCGATGTAACAAGCTCACTCACTCACTCACTCACTCACTGATGCTTGTCTTAATACTTTCAGGTCGATGTCTCGTCTCATTGTCATCACACATCGCGAGAGTCTCGCGAGAGTCTCTTTCTCGCCTCTCACCAGAAATGTCGAGAATCTCGTTCTCTGGCTTCATCAGACATTTGGAGCGTGTTACTTACGCTTCTCTTCACGTCCAACATGTTTCGTGGTTGTGTGTACATTTGTGTAAATAATAAAGTATGGATGTCGTATTTCTGTGTATGTTTTATGTATTTACTAAATATAACGTATTTAATCTGACTGGAAGGTATAGGAGGTTTACTTCCATCCCTTTGGAACCCATCCTCGATAATCTCCAGGGTATACGTTACGATAACTCTCAACTATACCCTTAACGCATCTACAGTTCCGCCAGATAATTTCATTACCTCCCTTGGCTGGCTTCTTATCCAATCACGTGTCTACGCTGGGAAGTTGAGCGGACCAATCACAACTCACTTTCGCTTCTTAAATTATCTAACCGATTAAACTTGGCAACACAATTGATGCAGAGGTTCTCTGAAAGAGGTTGAAGGAGTCATATATTTTTTAAAGTTTCAGACCTGTAAATTTGTCTGTATGATTTCCCCCATAATCCGAGTCGCACTGCGAGCAAACCTTCGCGGCTGCGACCGCTATCTATGTTGACACTGGCAAGTTAGGTTGTAACGGCGGCTTAGTTGATTGGCTACTGTGAGAATGCGGAGCCAGCCAAGGGAGGTAATAAAATCATCGGGCCAAGCCGTAGATGCCTTCCAGGGTATGGTGGAGAGTTATCGTTACCTATACCCTGGAGATTATCGCGGATGTTTGCAACCACGTCCTGGTGCTATCACCTTGATGTGTCATTCCCGCCTTTTGTGCGTACGCGTGTTAGGTGTGCGTGCGTGCTTGGTTTATCCTCTCTTATGCCGGTTTTCAGTGCTAACCCTCTGAGATACCATGCCGCATTTGACCAAGGACTCGCTCGCATGTATGTTTTATCCCATAAAAGGGACGGTGGGGTAGCCTAGTGGTTAAAGCCTTCGCTTGTCACGCTGAAGGTCCGGGTTCGATTCCCCACATGGGTACAATGTCTGAAGCCCTTTTTTGGGTGTCACCCGCCGTGATATTGCTGGAATATTGCTAAAAGCCGCGTAAAGCCATATTCAGTCAGCTAGTCAGGCAGTTATCCTCTAAATGCCGGGCTCCAGACGGGGTAACAACAAGTAGCATAGTTTAACGTTTCATGGTATGACGCGCCAATGGGATCGAACCTTATATGCATTTAGTGCAGGCTCTCTATCCGCTACATCACGGGATTGGCGTGACCTGTCAATAACATAGTCAGTATGTTTAGAAACTTGTGTTAAAATACTTCGACATAAACAGCAAAATTGCTGATGCAGCGTTAATAAATATTCGCTCACTCAAGTTGAAGTTAATACAAACATATTTCCATAGGTGTTTAGCCTTTGCGATGTAAACGATATATTCAGACATTTGATCTTATCGACACATGAATGGCATATCATACATACATTTAAGTTTGCACAGAGAGCTGTATGCATAGACAACAGTGGACAGCTATTGATTGGCAAGTAAATATTTTACGAACGCATCATTTACTGTCATCGAACCCGAATGAGTGAGTGAGTGAGCAATTTAGCAATATTCCAGCAATATTCCAGCAACATCACGGCGGGACACTAGAAATGGGCTTTACACATTGTACGTATGTGGGGAATCGAACCCGGGTCTTCGGCGTGACGAGCCAACGCTTGTACCACTAGGCTACCCCGCCGCCTTAGTGTACCTCTCGAACCCTCTTGAAGAAAAGTAGAGTTGTGGCTTATCTTGCTATGTGTCGGTTCTATTCCCTTTACAACTGAAATCGTGCCCCAATTTAAAACATAAATAATAAAATCAGATTTTTGCGTCGTGAATGACTGGTGTCTGACTTCGGAAAGTAGGTCGCTTGTGTGATTTTACACAGGAATGTCGTTTATGCCAGTGTCAACCTGCTTGTTTGAAATCGGTTAAACAATTAGAAAAACCGAGTCATAGTCAGGGACGAGCGACTTTGCTGTTTGGACAATGCAGGCATGTTTTATGCTTGGTGGACCCGATGATAGTAACACTGTATTGCCCAGACAATCGAGTTTAAACGTGCGCTTTTATAATCTACGGGAACGTGAATACGCACGAAATTATCAGTACAACTTTGTTTCAGGCCGATTGGGTCGTTCGTTACATATGTTCCATTGTCTTCAGTTTTTGCGAAGAGTCGTGACGTTTAATGAACCAACTGCTGAAAATCAATTACCATGTGATATTGCGCTGAACGATTTCGCCAAATTCCTGTCGCAGTGTTTGTGTATAGTGTTGTTGATTTAATCATATTTTTTCATACGCATTGACTTCAATGTATGTTTGGTTAATGAAGGTAGGAAGGTAAAACATTCCGTGATTTGTTTATCATTTCAAATAATTCCAACAATGTATTCAGTTTGTCAACGATATCAATCAGTATCTAGTGAAATAAAATAATGGGAAAGCAGCTTCAGTGGCAGAGAAATCAGTGATACCTTCCAATGTCCGTTTTGGTGGTTTTATTGACATGCGATGGTCCTCAGTACATTCTTACCGATTCTATCCTATGTTTGCTAAGGCACATTAATACATTGTGTTTACAATGGCTGCTCATAGAAAACGTGATTCCAAAGAAGGTATTGTTTATTAAAGCATAACGAAGGTAATTTGTGTCATAAACACGTCGAATTGGTGACATTTGAATCATTATTAAGTCAAATTATTTCCCGGATGGTATAACAGTATTGCAAAAATTGAGGACTGTTTGTGATTTTGTGATGTAAATTGACATCTTTATCATGTTTGATGTCTGATGCTTTGTTTAAAGGATTTAACAAGCCATCCGAGAGATATTTTGGGTATATTAGAAGATATTAGTATGTTTACGTTATTCACTCTGTTTGAATGGTTATTTGTTTCCAAGAACGGCATGCCTCCTTGTCTCATGCTTCAGAAACGTTTGCCCACTCACTGTATACAAAGATATTGTTGGAAATCGGACATCATATATACACCACAGTCAGACCTTGGTGTCTAGTTTCATTCAGCCTTCTGTATTTCCTTTTGTACAGGGGCGGTGGGGTAGCCCAGTGGTTAAAGCGTTGGCTCGTCACGCCGAACACCCGGGTTCGAATGCCCACATGGGTACAATTTGTGAAGCCCATTTCCGGTGTCCCCCACCGTGATGTTGCTGGAATATTGCTAAAAGCGGCGTAAAACCAAATTCAGTCAGTCAGTCCTATAGTACATTTACCCAACAGCTTTCCTACAGTAAATTCAGCCTACTGTATTTACTATAATATATTAAGCCTACTTTATTCACTATAGTACATTCAGCCTACTGTAATTGCTATAGTATATTCAGCCTATTGTATTTACTATAGTACATTCAGCCTACTGTATTTCCTACAGTACGTACAGCTAGTCTGTCTCACAGTCCCTGAACCACATTAATTTCCCTACTGCCAAGTGCGGTGTAAAGCCCTAAATAAAGCAAGTCTAGATTTCCTCAGGTTCAGGTTCGGAATCTCTGGTCTCCCTGGGGTTCCTTTTCAATATAAATGGGCTTGTTTGTTACTATCAAAATTATATATATTCAGAGACTAAGCCTTAGTCTATACGTACAGCCTACACTATTTACTATAGTACATTCGACCTGGGACGCTGTCCGCCTGCTGTGCCTTCAACACCCTCAACCTACTGCTGTGAAATAACACGAATCACTGCGATCAGCGATGATAAAGATCTACTGAGCCTACAAACCAATGGATGTGCTGTTGTATAACAACACGATTAGTTACACATATATTGTTTGTACACAAATATCAGTGTAACTTTATAATGGACAGGTTTTACATAAGAACTGTCAACTGGAATATTTCCACTCTAGAAACGAAGTACAAAGGAACAACTTCTCTTCCTGAGCATATTCTCTTAGTACAGTTGGCTTAGATCCGATTTGGGGGTTGATCGTTACATGACGGACTAAAGCATGAAACTTTGCAAAGTGCTGGGGAAAATCATGATAAACATATTTTTGGGGGGTGCCCGATTCTTTGGGCCCACTTTCCGAAAAATTCAAGATGGCGTCCAAGATGGCCGCCAAAAATCAAGGATTTCCAATTTTAACACTATATGTCTTTCCCTCGCTGGATTATAGCAGAAAATCTTGCACAGTGCTAGGGTATATCATGATAAAACATACCTTTTGGGTGTGCCCGATTTTTTGGGCCCATTTTCCTTGCTTAGTGCTTGCTGTCAAAAGAATTGGAGTGATACCCACGTGCATGAGTAGGGGTTTCTGTCAAACCAATCAGAGTGATACCCACGTGCATGGGTAGTGGTTGATGTCAAGCCAATCAGAGTGATACCCACGTGCATGGGTAGTGGTTTCTGTCAAACCAATCAGAGTGATACCCACGTGCATGGGTAGTGGTTTCTGTCGAACCAATCAGAGTGATACCCAGGTGCATGGGTAGTGGTTGATGTCAAGCCAATCAGAGTGATACCCACGTGCATGGGTAGTGGTTTCTGTCAAACCAATCAGAGTGATACCCACGTGCATGGGTAGTGGTTTCTGTCAGGGTGATACCCACGTGCATGGGTAGTGGTTGATGTTCAGAGTGATACCCACGTGCATGGGTAGTCAAACCACCATCAGAGTGATACCCACGTGCATGAGTAGTGGTTTCTGTCAAGCCAATCAGAGTGATACCCACGTGCATGAGTAGTGGTTTCTGTCAAACCAATCAGAGTGATACCCACGTGCATGAGTAGGGTTTCTGTCAAGCCAATCAGAGTGATACCCACGTGCATGAGTAGTGGTTTCTGTCAAACCAATCAGAGTGATACCCACGTGCATGGGTAGTGGTTGATGTCAAGCCAATCAGAGTGATACCCACGTGCATGGGTAGTGGTTGATGTCAAGCCAATCAGAGTGATACCCACGTGCATGAGTAGTGGTTTCTGTCAAACCAATCAGAGTGATATCCACGTGCATGAGTAGTGGTTTCTGTCAAACCAATCAGAGTGATACCCACGTGCATGGGTAGTGGTTTCTGTCAAACCAATCAGAGTGATACCCACGTGCATGGGTAGTGGTTGCTGACAAACCATTCGGAGTGATACCCACGTGCATGGAGACTAAGGGCGGACAGGCCCATCGGAGTGATACCCACGTGTTTGGAGACTTCGGCGAACAGACCCATCGGAGTGAAACCCCAGTTTAAAAGGCCTTGGACACTCATTAGGGTGAAACCACGTGCATGGTTTGGTTGATGTTCACAACGATTAGTATGCATGGACCTGCAAAACCTTGGTCAATTAGCTGCCAGTATTATGTTGGAACGCTAAGGGTCAGATGCAATCTTCATAATTATACTCATTTCCCCTATACTGAGGAGTACTTAACAGTAATGATAAACTGAGACAACTCAAGTTTCAGTTACGTTGGATGTGAGATGAAATACGGTAATTACAGAGAGACATTTTATGCTTATACTCGTTCTATAGAACTAGCCCATTTCGATACCACTCTGCAAACCCCGAAGGTCCCCTTTAGAATTGATCGTCAGTAACTCATGCTTGTCGTAAGAGGCGACTGACGGGATCGGGTGGTCAGGCTCGCTCACTTGGTTGACATATATCATCGTATCCCAATTGCGTAGATCGATGCTCATGCTGTTGATCACTGGATTGCCTGGTTCAGTCTCGATTAGTATTAGATCATTTACATATAGCTGGACTATTGCTGAGTGCCGCGTTAAACAACAGACAAACAAAAAGTTTTCCAAATATCTTGAAATTATACAACCTGTTTTTCCATTTGTTAATACCTTATGGTAGCCTTGGAATAACAGTGTTTCCTTTGATTTTAGACTTTTCTCTTATAGTCTTTTGTACCAAAAGGGGGAAAACATCAACTCTCACATGGAAGAAAGAATACTAAAAAGCAACAACATGTAATTCAGTGATACAGTTTGGGATGATGCGCTTAGTCAAAATCATTGAAATGTCATCGTATCCCAATTGCGTAGATCGATGTTCAGCATGTTGATCTCTGGATTGTCTGGTCCAGACTCGAATATTTACAGACGGCCGCCATACAGCTCGAGTATTGCTGAGTGCAGCGTTAAACAACGACCAAACAATCAAAACAAAACAAAAACACCTCTCCGCAGCTTTACATACACACCACTGGATACACAGTATACAGATAGAAGTACCGCTTACCAATGGAGTCGAGATGACGTTGGTGTCGGACAGTGTTGTAACGGATGCCGGTGTCGTGAACGTACAACTACGCCACCATAATTAATGGTTTTATCCCCCTCGTTGCAACACCACAAACTCATTCTAAATGAAAGTCAAATATGACAACTTGTGTATTACGACATCATATCTTTATCCCCATGTAGTGTGTCACGTAACATCTGTGACTTCATTCAACGTTCAATCAACAACATCGTGAATTACAACCAGCATTGCTTCAAGTTTCCTCCTTGGAGTGCGACCTAGAAGCAGTGTCACGTGGTCTTGTTGACACAAAGGTCAGAGTTCGCACGTAATTCCCTTCCACTGGCACAGAGCAGCAAATCCGTCTATGTCGTGTAAACCGGTGTCCTTGACACCTCCACGTTAACGCCAGATGGACAGGGACCGGCTTGGATCGAGGACTGGAAAGTTCCTGTTGAAGCGGAGGTGTGAGATATTGTCGCTACTTGCTGATGTTGTTGGCGGAATAGTCTCCATGTGGATGACGACAAATTGTTAAAAAAATTATTAACTTCCTTACCCACACATGAAAAAAACCCATACATGTATTTCACCCCCCGAAACAGGAAATAGTGACAACGAAAATCAGCTTCCGTATTGAAAGCATAACTACACAAATCCGTTGCCATAGTGATTCTTTTTCCAATTTTAACACGTATGAGATCCACACAAAAAGTCAATAAACAGATAAATTATAAATAAACAGGTGATTTACTGAAATGTTTAATTCGCAATTGCTCGCCTAACATCAAGCGTGTAAGTTCCTTTCCAATTCCGCGACATCGAGGCCATGAGCGACCAGGAAGCCAGTGGTCAGTGATGGGCAGGGGCTGATCGGCTTGATGGTCAGTGATCACGTGACAGGCGCTTTTGGGTCTTATAAGAGAAAAAATTGATGAAACAAGTGTAGTAACCTAGACAACTGCTGACTGTACATCATGATGGACACATGGAGGAGGCGATGGCTTTCCGTCATAGGTGAGTTACAAGGACGTTGTTCATTGATTCTTATTGATCTCTCCGGAAAGTAAGATACAATTTATTGTAATAATCTGGATAATAATAAATGATTACGTGGCATTTGGGTGGGTAACAAAGCAATAATTTTTGCGTTTATCTACAAACCTAAACATACACAGTATTTTCCTCCATAAACGCCAAAAATATTAAGGTCAATTCTCAATCATTCTAGGTCAATTACATATTTGAAAAGAAAAACTAACAGCGCCTTTTCGATTTACTTTCTTCTCCCTTTTCAAACAGCATTATTTTAAGATTTTGATTTCACATTTATGCGTATTTGTATATCTTTTTGAGAACTGTGTTTTGTGTCATTGAATGAAGGGTAATGTTTTGATATGAATATAGGGCATTTCAACTAGTGTTAGGGTTTTGAATGCTTTCCAATGTTTAAAAACTCTTAACTCGTCCCCAACTTGCTTTTGAAAATACATGGTTGTGAAAGGGGCTTGTACATCTTAATGGCACAGGCACGGCTAACACTGTATATGTGAGTGGGGCGGTGGGGTAGCCTAGTGGCTAAAGCGTTGGCTCGTCACGCCGAAGACCCGGGTTCGATTCCCCACATGGGCACAATGTGTTAAGCCCATTTCTGGTGTCCCCCGCCGTGATATTGTTGGAATATTGCTAAAAGCGGCGTAAAACTAAACTCAGTCAGTCAGTCAGTATATGTGAGTTTGTTGTTTAACGCCGTACTCAGCAATATTCCAGCTATATGGCGGCGGTCTGTAAATAATCGAGTCTGGACCAGACAATCCCGTGATTCACATCATGAGCGATGACATGTGTCAACCAAGTCAGCGAGTCTGACCACCCGATCCCGTTAGTCGCCTCTTAAGACAAGCATGGGTTACTGAAGACCAGTTCAAAAGGGGATCTGTTTATATGCACTGCTCCCGTATCCGTTGCTTGTTTCTGGTGTCCCCCGCCGTGATGTTGCTGGAATATTGCTAAAAGCGGCGTAAAACCATACTCAGTAGGTCAGTTGTTACAAGAACTGCCTAATAAGCATTGGCATGACAAGAAAAGATATCGTGCTGAAGGCGAGGATCGTTGCCTATACTTTCGCTCACTGATTGCGTGGTCCGTAGTTGTATATTGACAGCCATTCAGAATCAATGTTGACTGCGGCGTTAAGCAGCATTTACTCACTGCCCGTATCGCCATCTGTTGCTGAGAGTGTTTGAGGGATTCTAGACAAAAACAACACTTTGTTTCTTGCTTGTTTGTCAAGTATGTCAGTGATGTACCGTTGTCATTCAGATTTTGCCTGATCATCACAAGCTCAAGTTTACAATCATACCGCCCAACAGTATTTGTACCAAGATATGCCATCGTGCATATGAAGTACAAATCTTAAAACAATGGCTTATAAAAGAAAAGACTTAGAATTTCTGATTCTTGGTTCTCACAGGTGTGGTCCTGGCTGTGGCGTGTTCTGCGACTGGACAACAGGGGGTCACCTGCACTGAGGGTCTGGCTGCGGATCCCAACAAATGCGAAGCCTTCTTACAGTGTGTTGGAGGCAAATATGTCCGTCTTATGTGCCCTGCTAACTTGAGGTTTAACCCTGCAACCAGCCAGTGCGACTGGCCATCCAAAGTCCCATGCGACAAAAATGCACCAAGAAACACCTTTTCTCAGCCAAGGCAGCAGCCAATGCAACGGCCCATGCAAAGACCAATGCAACAGCCAATGCAACAGCCCAGACAGCAACAGCCAATGCAACAACCAATGCAACAACCAATGCAACGGCCAATGCAACAACCAATGCAACAGCCAATGCAACAGCCCAGACAGCAACAGCCAATGCAACAACCAATGCAACAGCCAATGCAACAACCAATGCAACAACCAATGCAACAGCCAATGCAACAGCCCAGCAACAGCCAATGCAACAGCCAATGCAACAACCAATGCAACAGCCTATGGAACAACCAATGCAACAGCCAATGCAACAGCCAATGCAACAGCCAATGCAACAACCAATGCAACAGCCTATGCAACAGCCAATGCAAAAAATGCAGCAAATGCAACAGAATCTTAAACAGGGGAGTTGGAAAAAGCACCAGTCGTCCATGAATCAAGGCTTGGGGATGGTGAATACTGGTCTGATGGGAGGCATGGGGATGCCAGTGAATGGTGGTTTGATGAGCGGGGGAGTCGGCATGGAGATGAGGAGTATGAACACCAAGGGTTCCGGGATGATGGGCTCTGGAGTTACACTCTTCCCATCCTTCTTGAACATCCCCTCGAAGAAGACGTCTTTCAACATGGGCATGAACTCAGGGATGATGAATGGCATGATGAATGGTATGATGAATAATGGCATGATGAATAATGGCATGATGAATGGTGGTATGATGAATGGTGGTATGATGAATGGTATGATGAATGGTATGATGGGTAACGGGAATAACCAAAAGAAATCCAACTCCCAAATGAGCCCAATCCTCATCCCCTACCCATTTCCTCCCGAGTGGTTCGGCGGCAAGAAAACGACGACAGCATCCCCAACCTCAAGCACCACCAATGCCACCACCACCACAACGTCAAAGAAGAAGGGCAACAACATCTTCTTCATCTCCATGGTGCCCCCCATGGTACCCGTGGACCCCCTCCTGCCTCCCTGTGCCCTCACGTCCTCCTGCTCCGGGATGCCGCTGTGTAATGAGACGAGAAGCAACAACTGCGTCAACCCCACCCTCAGCAATCTGCTCTTAAGAAGCGGCAACACCAGAACGTCTTTCCAGGTCAGTTTTAGACATACCTAAAACGGTAGCACGAACACAGCATCTGGTGTATGTTCTAAAACAATACTACCCTTTACATGTTCACGTCATTTGCAACTTTGACGTAATATTGCTATATCCTCTGAAACAAACTTACCTTCGTGAAGATCCGGGTTGAAGTTGGTCTTCAACAACCAATGCTTGCTGCATGAGGCCACAAATGGGATCGGAGGCCTAGGGTCAGATCATTGTTCCCCAGTTGCGTTGATAGATGCTTAACACAAGTTTTGTTTGTTTGTTAGTTAAACGTTGAATAACATACGAACATTGGAACCTTCCGATGTCAAACGCTGGAATGTTCGTCCTAGACTTGTTTATCTACACACCGTCATTATAAAGCTGGAATATTAAACAACAAACAAAGAAAGGAACCCAAATTAAGGTCTCCTGGCAAATATGACATTACGCTAGCTGCAAAGAGTCTCCGCAGTGGTTGGTTAAAGCATTCAATCGTTTGACTGCGAAAGACGGGTACAATTTCTAGCGACCCTCGCTCTCTCGTATGACAAAACTGACGTACTCCTAATCAGTGTTTAAAACTCCCAAAATTCTAAGCCAGACAGCCGGACTAGTAACTTTAAACAATTACCAGTCCGGATACAAACTTGCCTGTCCGGTTTTTTAACAATAAAAAACCCAAAATTAAATCAAGTTTCTGAATACTTTACCGCATGTATTGTAACGTTAAGGCTAAGGTACATGGCCTGGTTGCATTTTCTGCCCCACCATCACGATCCGAGAAATATCTACCAGACCACCGGACAGGCTACTTTTGAAATTTGACCGTCCAAGATGATAATAGACCGTTCCGGACGGTCGAGCAGGCGGGAATTTTAAACGCTGTCCTAATATTGTTACTACACTTTCAAGATCACCCCCCCTAGGCCAACTTATAATATAGTGAAGGCCTTGATGATATCTCCATGGCTAGAAAACATCATGACTGTTTTGAAAGTCGTGTTTATGATAAAGTAACTGGTAAACATATCAAACAGGTAATTTAAACAGTCAGTCCGAGTTTGATCCGACCTGACTTTGAAAAGGCTAAAGAAATATGATATACACACTGATATATGTTTAATGTTGTTTCCTGAAGGGGGCTACGTCTATAAGCAGCAGTGCAGGACTCAGGGTCGGCGCAGGTCTTGGCGGTCTCAGCGGTTTCAATACTCTTGGTAGTCTGAGTGGTCTGCCTGGTCTAAGTGGCCTCACTTCCATCCTTCAGTCAACCGGAAGTACACGTCAAGGTCAAGGACAGAGTAAGTTGCAGTCGGCTGAAGTTTCGTAAAATATCACAACATAACCGAAATTGCATGCATGTGGTTTTTCGCCGCTTATAGTAATGTTACATCACTTCCGCACTATATATCAAGATAAGTTCATTCTACTGCCTGTATTCTTGTTTGGTATGGGGCGTGGGTTAGCCTAGTGGTTAAACCGTTCACTCGTCACGCCTAAGATACGGGTTCGATTCCCCACAAGGGTACAATGCGAGAAGCCCATTTATGGTGTCTCCCGAAGCGATATTGCTGGAATATTGCTAAAAGCGTCGTAAAACCATACTCACTCATACTCTCTCCTGTTTGACGTTGACCGCCTCCGTGATGTAGTGGTCAAAGCGTCCGCCCGGAGAGCGGAAGGCCGCAGATTCCATTCCCGGCCGCGTCATACCAAAAGACGTTAAAATATGGGACTTGTGAGTTCCTGCCTGGCGCTCGGCATTAATGGGTACAACAAGGACTGGTCGGCTCGGAGTCAGTATAATGTGTCTGAGTGGGGTTTTCATGCTTAACTGAACTTAGTGAGAACTATAAAACCAGCCTAAGTCTGGGCTAGTACAACCAGCACACATACACACACATGCATGTCGTCATATGAGCGAAATATTCTCAAGTACGACCGTAAATCCCATTTCACCTGACCACACCTTGTTTGATATTGCAAGATGTCGAGTGTTGCACGGGCCGGTGACGAGAGAATCTGCATGGTTATCCCACCGCCTTACCTTCTATAGATATAAATGGGGCGGTGGGGTAGCCTAGTGGTTAAAGCGTTCGCTCGTCACGCCGAAGACCCGGGTTCGATTCCCCACATGGGTACAATGTGTGAAGCCCATTTCTGGTGTCCCCCGCCGTGCTATTGCTGGAATATTGCTAAAAGCGGCGTAAAACCATACTCACTCACTCACTCTATAGATATAAACCTATTGTATTCAGGATACACAGGATACACTGCGGAACTTGTTTTACAGACTGCCGGGCTGTGAGGAGCGGACGAGTTGAGATCCCGATTACTGCACTTGGTTCCAATCGCTCATGGACGACGGAAGAATGTCTGGCTATGGAGACTTTGCTGAATGCTGTCATCACGACCTCGGCAGAAAACCGATCAAGCCAGACGTCTCAGGGACGCCAAGTGACGCAACGTACAGCATGTACTGTCACAGTTCCCAACGTCGCAGTCAGATGCGCGTAAACATCTCGCCGACCTCCTTTGGTATTAGGACAACGGACATGCGCAGTTACATGCATCGGATGTTGTAGACAAGTTTTTTGTTCTTTCTATAAGTGATGCAAGCGTTGATAGCATTGTACTGAGAAGTATCACAACGGGATTTTTCACCATAATTATCAACATGAAAGTCCGACGACTTAATGATATACTTGTTTATTTGTTTAACGTAATATGTGGGGCAGCCTCGTGGTTAAATCGTTCGCTCGTCACACTGAAGACCCGGGTTCGATTCCTCATATGTGAAGCCCATTCTGGTGTTCCGCGTCATGATATTTCTGGAATATTGCTAAAAGCGGCGTACAACCATACTCACTCACTCAGTAATGTGTCTGCTTTATCATGGGGGTTTTCATGGGCGGATCCAAGAGGGGCCGGGGGAGGTGTGCTTGGGGTTGAGTCAGGGGTTCGAACCCCCCCTTTTGAAAATGACTTAAGACCGCATTGAAGATTTTTTATTTTGCGTTGGCGGAGTCGGGGGGTCAGAACTGCCCCCTCCCCCCTTTCAAAATTCCTGGATCCGCCCTTGGTTTATATCATGATCATCAACATGGACGACACAATTAGGATATGAGGGCATGCATGACCCAAGTCGACGAGCCAACACGTCTAGGATGGTTTGCTGGAGGCAATTATAACCCGGATCTTTACCAAGAGAAAACACGTTTGAATTTAAGATTATTTTTCATTTTAATTTAAAATTCTCCCTTTGGCTGAACACGGACTTCCGTTTTAAGAATTTAAGTTGGAATTTTAACCAGGACGTGAAACATTGAAGACAACTTGACAACAATGGCTATTATTCACTGTATCTTCACGCAGACCACTCTTAAAGATCCGGGTTAGAGTTGATCTTCTTCGCGCTAGTCGTGAGAGGTGACGGGATCGGGTTATCAGGCTCGCACACTTCGTTGATGCATAATGCCAATCATTAGTTTGTCTGGTCCAGTGCGCATTCTTGTTCGACCAATGCATGTACTTCATATTGTCTTACTTTTGTACGTATTTATTTTCAAATAAAATTGAATTCAATTATGGGTTGTGATTATTAGAGTGATTTTCAGAGTGCTTTCAAGTACTTATTTAAAGCTGACAAGGCCTTGAAACTGTTATTAACTGAGTGGATGCACATGTGGCCCAGTCGCTGTGCTGCAAGTTGCTTCCCTTAGACGTGTCAGAATCCTATGATCTTGGGTTCGAAGGTTTGGCACCAACATACGGTGCTCGTGGGCTTCGACAAATTGTTAACCGTGTAAATTAAGCTGAAAGTGAACCGACTCACTCACTAACTTGGGGCATGAACAGAGTATGCATGTCCCCTAAATAGAGTGTTCGCATGCATATCGTCTGTATAGGGTGTCATCTATGCATATCGAGTGTATAGGGTGTCATCCATGCATATCGCCTGTACAGGGTGTCATCGTATGCATATTGCCTATATAGGGTGTCTACGCATGCATATCGCCTACATTGGGTGTCCGTGCATGCATATCGCCTATACAGGGTGTCATCCATGCATATCGCCTATATAGGGTGTCTCACCATGCATATCGCCTATATAGGATGTCTTCGCATGCATATCTCCTATATTGGGTGTCCTTGCATGTATATCGCCTATATAGGGTGTCATCCATGCATATTGCCTATATAGGGTGTCTCCCCATGCAAATCGACTATATTGGGTGTCATCCATGCATATCGCCTATATAGGGTGTCCTTGCATGCATATCGCCTATATAGGGTGTCATCCATGCGTATCGCCAATATAGCTTGTCTTCTATGCATATCGCCTATACAGGGTGTCTTCCATGTATATCGCCTATCTAGGGTGTCGTCCATGCATATCGCCTATATTGGGTGTCCTTGCATGCATATCGCCTATATAGGGTGTCCTTGCATGCATATCGCCTATATAGGGTGTCATCTATGCGTATCGCCAATATAGCTTGTCTTCTATGCATATCGCCTATACAGGGTGTCTTCCATGTATATCGCCTATCTAGGGTGTCGTCCATGCATATCGCCTATATTGGGGGTCCTTGCATGCATATCGCCTATATAGGGTGTCCTTGCATGCATATCGCCTATATAGGGTGTCATCCATGCGTATCGCCAATATAGCTTGTCTTCTATGCATATCGCCTATACAGGGTGTCTTCCATGTATATCGCCTATCTAGGTTGTCGTCCATGCATATCGCCTATATTGGGGGTCCTTGCATGCATATCGCCTATATAGGGTGTCCTTGCATACATATCGCCTATATAGGGTATCATCCATGCATATCGACTATATGGGGTGTCTTCCATGCAAATCGTCTATATTGGGTGTCCTTGCATGCATATCGCCTATATAGGGTGTCCTTCCACGCATATCGCCTATATAGGGGGTCCTTCCATGCATATCGCCTACGTAGGGTATCTCCTATATTGGGGGTATTCCATGAATATCGCCTATATACGGTGTCTTCGCATGTACACTAGACGCCAAAAGAAACGTAACCCTCCCACCTTTACGAATTACTGAAAGAGTATCAAAGATATTTTAGAAGGTTTTAATTTACAAGAAAGCTAAACAACACAGCTTTACGCAAATCACGAAAAACAATTCTCAAATGCATTTATATTTGAGTGAAATGCATCTTTTTCAGAAGAGTTAAATTGTCCTATATTCGTCCATGCCGAAATAAACCAATAGTAGTGATTTTGATGTCCAAAAGAAAGGTTGAAATAAAATTCTGCTTAACAGCTGAAGGGAGAGAAAGAACCATTGGGATGGTGCAGATGGGGGCGACATACAATGCTGTTGCCAACGCCCACGATGCCACCGTATCACGGTTATAAGACTTATTCAGGGCTTCAGACAGACTGGGGTCACCGTAGACAGACCAAGAAGTGGACGTCCACGCATCACAACGCCAGCTTAAGATAGGTACCTCCGTCATTAAGGAAGGAGGGTAACGTTTATCTTTGAATTTAGTGTATGTCTCCTGTATAGGGTCGTTGCATGCATATTGCCTATATAGGGTGTCTACGCATGTATATCGCCTATATCGGGTGTCCTTGCATGCATATCGCCTATACAGGGTGTCATCCATGCATATCGCCTATATAGGGTGTCTCACCATGCATATCGCCTATATCGGGTGTCCTTGCATGCATATCGCCTATATAGGATGTCTTCGCATGCATATCTCCTATATTGGGTGTCCTTGCATGCATATCGCCTATATAGGGTGTCTCCCCATGCATATCGCCTATATCGGGTGTCCTTGCATGCATATCGCCTATATAGGGTGTCCTTGCATGCATATCGCCTATATAGGGTGTCATCCATGCGTATCGCCTATATAGCTTGTCTTCCATGTATATCGCCTATCTAGGATGTCTTCCATGCATATCGCCTATATTGGGGGGTCCTTGCATGCATATAGCCTATATAGGGTGTCCTTGCATACATATCGCCTATATAAGGGGTCATCCATGCATATCACCTATATAGGGTGTCTTCCATGCATATCGACTATATGGGGTGTCTTCCATGCATATCGCCTATATTGGGTGTCCTTGCATGCATATCGCCTATATAGGGTGTCCTTCCATGCATATCGCCTACGTAGGGTATCTCCTATATTGGGGGTCTTCCATGAATATCGCCTATATACGGTGTCTTCGCATGCACACTAGACGCCAAAAGAAACGTTAGCCTCCTACCTTTACGAATTACTGAAAGAGTATCAAAGATATTTTAGAAGGTTTTAATTTACAAGAAAGTTTAACAACACAGCTTTACGCAAATCACGAAAAACAATTCTCAAATGCATTTATATTTGAGTGAAATGCATCTTTTTCAGAAGAGTTAAATTGTCCTATATTCGTCCAAGCCGAAATAAACCAATAATAGTGATTTTGATGTCCAAAAGAAAGGTTGAACTAAAATTCTGCTTTGGCATAATGATAAACCATTTAAAGTCACCATTTTTCAACTATTAAAATAAGAAATAACTGTTGTAGAGAGTGTAAAATTGTAAAATGATCATTGCTATGATTTCAGTCTTTTAAAACATTTTCTTCTGATTTGCATTAGTGAAAACAAGTAAAACGTGTCTTTGATATTGTGAAAAAATGTTAAGGAACATCTACAATTATCTTTGTTAACATTTTTTCTCGCAAAGTAACATTTTTCCATTTCCATTTTACACATAGCAATATCAATCGCCAAAACGCGGCAATATTCAAACAGTATTTACATCCATTTCACATGCAGAATCTTTCTATAGGGTATAAAGAGACACTAGAAGACATGATCTGATACCCAAGTACGAGAAATATGCCACGATTAACAGTTGAAGGGAGAGAAAGAACCATTGGGATGGTGCAGATGGGGTCGACATACAATGCTGTTGCCAACGCCCACGATGCCACCGTATCACGGTTATAAGACTTATTCAGGGCTTCAGACAGACTGGGGTCACCGTAGACAGACCAAGAAGTGGACGTCCACGCATCACAACGCCAGTTTAAGATAGGTACCTCCGTCATTAAGGAAGGAGGGTAACGTTTATTTTGGCGTTTAGTGTATGTCTCCTGTATAGGGTCGTTGCATGCATATTGTCTATATAGGGTCTCCTTGCACGCATATTGCCAATATAGGGTGTCTAGGGCATGCATATCGCCTATATAGGATCTCCCTGCACGCATATTGCCCATATAGGATGTCTTCGCATGCATATCGCCAAAATAGGATCTCCTTGCACGCATATTGCCTATACAGGGTGTGTTCGCATGCATATCTCCTATATAGGGTCTCCTTGCACGCATATCGCCTATATAGGGTCTCCTTGCACGCATATCGCCTATATAGGGTATCTTCGCATGCATATTGCCTATATAGGGTGTATTCGCATGCATATCGCCTATATAGGGTCTCCCTGCACGCATATTGCCTATATAGGGTGTCTTCCA